ACTTAAGAGAACCAAGTCTTTTTACTGTTCAAAGAGCTAAGGTTTTTTTTCCCCCCCTTGTTATCTCCTATATTTGCCTTTGAAATCTTTTATCGCCACTTTGGTTAAATAGGTAACTAATATTGTTTCAAAATGAACTATGATCCTATTTAATTAGATTTTCAAACCTTTTGATATTTTTGACAACTTCCCAAATCAAATTCTAAATAAAGTCTTCTTGAACTTAATTGAGTTTGAAGTTTCCAAGAGAGACCCTGGAAAACTTCAAAAGCTTTGTTCTCTCACCTTATAAAAAGAGAGACATGAAACAAATTAGGTTTATTTGATATATTAAATTACGTGGGGAGCAGTGTCAAAGAAGAGATGCTTAACTTTCCCTAGGTTATATCTGTATGGATAAAATGTTATTTCAGAAATGGTATAATTTGTAGAAATTTATCAATGCCATCACTACCCATAATATGTCTTGGTATAATGTGATCAGTCCAGATATTATTTTAAAATGTGTATGTCGCAGAAACAACCATATTTCCTTGTCAGCTGTGTTATTTTTATAATGAACTTTCATCAGATCTTTAACTATGGTCACTTTAAGTTTTTGCTATCCATAGACAGACGTTTTACTCTAATGCTTTCCTAAAAGCTTCTGCAACCAGCTACAGGCCAGGCTATTTATGTTTAACAAAAAGGGACTGTCTTGAAGACCCATGACAAAGGACTGTACCAGGTATTCTGGGGAACAGGCTTCTGATGGCCTTGACTGAGTAACTTTGAAATCGAACCAGTAAACTAAGTCAGGATTTCTAAAAGCCAGTGGGTTCATAAAATTGTTAGCCCAAGAATAAGCAGAACAAAATTAATTACATGGGACTGAGTTAACTGATAAATTATAGTCATTTTTAAATAACTATAATTTTTAAAAAGATGTTATTTATTTATTTTAGAGAAAGGAGAGGGAGAGGGAAAGGGAGAGAAACATCGATATGAGAGAGAAATATCAATTGGATGCCTTTTGTACATGCCCTCACCAGGGACCGCCTGCAACCTAGGCATGTGCTCTGACTGGGAATTGAACTGGTGACCTTTTACTTTGAGGGACAACACCCAATCAATGGAGCCACACTGAAATATTGCTGGCTCTTAAATGCCCTATTTTCCAGATATAAAAAAAACTCATTCCATTTTCTCTTAAGCTACCTCCTTTTCTCCCTGCCTAATCCCTCAAAAAATTGGAAACTGTCATTGACCATTTCTTATTTTCATAGCAATATAGTTATTTGCATAGGTTTCCTAAGAATCTGTCCTCTTTGTGATAGGACAGAATTATGAAGGCTTTGAATGGAATGCCATATTTGAAAGTGAAGAATAAAATTGGATTTGACCAGACTATTTTAATGAGCTAAGGTTGACTCTTTGCAGCCAATGTTTACAAGCCCTCTTGAAAAAATTGGCCTGGTATCTGGCTTAAAGAAGCCTCAGCCTTACAGTTGAGTAAGTAAGGTAACTTCCTGATAGGCTCAGGAAACAGGATATTTCAGGGACTTTGAGAAGAGAGGAATTCATCCACTGAAGGTGATGCCTGATAGAGGATTCTTGGCTTCACTTTGTAGCCCTGAGAAGCTTTTAAAGGCCAACCTGAGATTTCTTGTAAAAAGATCCATAAAGAAAACTTAAAAAGGCCTGTATGGTCAATTATCATTCTTGCTAGAATTACATAAATAATCAATCCAAACTTAATGACACTAAAACTATTTTTTAAACAAGAATTATCTTACTTTATCTTTGATTACAAAGGGGGTGACTCTGGAGAGAAATTTTATGTTTCAGTGGAAAAGTGTGACACACCCTTGTGGGTTTATCCTCATCTAGACTTGTTCAGTGTCTTTGAAATTTGATTTACCTGTAAAATGAGCTGGATCCTGCCATCTTACACATTTTGCCAGTCCTAACCAAATCCTCAATTCTTCTAGTTTCCTTCGCTCTCTGGCCACAGCTTTACAAACTGATGTTTCCAATTTTTCACCCTCCCTCCTGACTTGGTGTCACTAAGAACTAGAATCTGACTGCCTAGATCCTTTTTGGGACTCAGGTTCTCTTGTAGTTGTCCCTTTCCTCCAGAATCTGAGAAAGTCCTACAAGCTGAAGCCTGGTAACTTAGAGCTACTGGTACATGGGCCACCCAGAAAGTCTGCCAGAACTCCTGCATGTTCTGTGTTCTGCTCTGGGAAGTAACCACGACTGTGACAGTGATATCTTTGCCATCACCACATTCAAAGTATCAACCAGGAAATCCATCAGACTGCCACTGCTACCCTCATGTCACCATCTAAAAATGCTTAAGAGTTCAGTGTTTTCTCAAGTGGCTTCACTCTCGACTCAGAACATGGGTTTATATTCTGCTCCTACCAGTCATCTTTGTTTTTCTTTTTGTTTCCATAGAGATGCTCCTCATTAAATGCCTGATTGCTCATGTTATTCAACAAATGTCCTCTAAATATCATCTCAACAGATGCTTCAGCTAGTCCTTAACAAACAAAAGGCAATCAAATGAGAAATTGATTTATACTGTTCAGAGGAAAGACTGTCTATTCTTGCTGCCTCTTTCTTACTGTTCGTCCCAACCGACGTGTGAAGAGAGGGCACCTGTCTCCCAGGCTCTGTGGGAGGGTAGGAGCCTAATTTTCTAAGTTCCAGTTAGCAATCCCAGATCTATTTCACATGGACCAACTCCCCCCTCCCACTTTTTGTAATTTTCCACTTCCCTGACTCTACTTAGCCCCTGCGCACCCCTTCCCTATTTCCTCATCCTCTCTTTAAAGTGCCCAGCCACACAACAACAACAAAAAATTAAAAAAAGACAAACTGTAAAAATTAAAACTAAACTAAACTAAACAACTAAAATGCCCAGTCACAAATCAAAGTTGAGTTTAGTTCATGCTGGACTCTTCCCTATTGCAATAATTATTACCGATTCAAATCTTTCTGCTTTAACTAGTATCTGGCTCCATTTATCTTTGACAGTGCACAAGTATTTTCTTGAGTCCCTGCTGTCAGTTCTTTAGGTATATATCCAAAAGTGGAATTGCTGGATTGTATGGCAATTCTATTTTTAACTTTTGAGGGAATGCCACATTGTTTTCCTTAGTGGCTGCACTATTTTACATCCCTGACAGCAGTGCACAAGGGTTCCAGCTTTTCCACATCCTCACCAAAACATTTTATTTTCTGCATTTCTAAAGAAATTTACAGTAGCCATCCTAACGTGTATGAGGTGGTATTTCACTGTGGTTTTGATTTTCATTTCCTTCATGATTGGTGATGTTGAGTACATTTTTTAAGTGCTCATTGGCCATTTATCTATCTATCTATCTATATCTATCTATCTATCTATCTATCTATCTATCTATCTTGTTTGCGTGTTCTATTTCTTAAGCTGCGTGGTGAGGACATAGGTATTGTTCCGTTATTATCCTTTAAATTGTAATTACACATTATTCTTTTTCAAAATTCTATTTTATAATTAAAAAATAAATAAAAGTACACAAAGGCACACAGGAGCTGAGGGTGGGCCCTGGTGGAACATAAGCTGACCATCTCAGCCTGTGGGTTGGGTGACATGGGTTTCAGGCAGACACATGGGGTTCCTGTCTTTTCTGCTGTTAATCTTTATTTCTCATCAACTTTTTAGAGACCTACCCTGTGCCTGCTTTTTAGAATCAACCCCTACAGTCTCTGCAAAGTAGGCAGCAGACATATAAGCCTATCCCCATGGCCCTCGCTGACTGTACTGGATTGGACATCTGGCTAAAGCTGGGCCAATCAAATTCCCTCTCCCAGAAATCTAGCGGACTATAGTCAGATGGTGAAAAGCCATCTGACTACTCTTATAAGGTAATAGACCAAGGAGGACTAAAGAGTTACCCAGTGGGAGAGGCCACTTTAGGGCACTATATACCAATAAAGAAGCAGATAGAAGTGGTTTTTAGAGAGGAGAGGATGGAATGAACTACAAGGGACAATAATTCGAGGACCAGTCTTGGTTCCAGACTGCTTTTTGGTTCCCAGGTTCTGTCCCAGAAAAGCTCTTATCACACTTCTATAATCATTGCCCGGATTTTCTCTCTGGATTCTGGGAGGTAGCCCCAATTCCTTACAATAATTTCCCTTTATCTGGGCTACCCTGAGTGGCTTTCTGCTTCTTGCATTAAAATGAACCCTATGCTAAAGGCCCATTATCTTTTAGTTAAGGGGTGACACACCCGTCAGGAATGGGTTGAAAGGTTTTTCTTGCTTAAAAACAGGTAGCAGTGGACGTAGTCTCTTCGCTCTGAGAGCTAAGACAGTGGGGGCAAAGATGAACACTCTACATTTGTAACTTGGGCAGTGCTCTGCTACGGGCCTCTCCTCCTGGGCTTTGCAGAAAATGGGGTGTGCAGGGCTCGCCAAACGCCGAATGTGCAGCCTTGCCCCCAGAACCTACCTGTGTTGGCTTCAGCCCACATCCTTCATCCCCTCTTTTCCTACTTGTTAAAGGGGAATGAAAGGACTTTCTCTCATCTAATCTTTCACTGGCACATGATGACTTTTGGCACACAGCTTTTTCCAGCAAGACTGTGAATCTGAAGGCAAAAATGTACACTCATCTGTATTTAACACATCCCCATGTGACTCTCATAGGATGGGTACATAATAGCTACTTGTTGAATGGATGTTCGCACATCAATGCTTATAGTTCTTTCCATATTTGAGAATGTCAAGAAATGAAGATAGGCCCTGGCTGGTGTAGCTCAGTGGACTGAGCACAGGCCTGCGAACCAAAGCATCACCAGTTTGATTCCCAGTCAGGGCACATGCCTGGGTTGCAGGCCAGGTCTCAAGTAGGGGGTGTGCTAGAGGCAACTATACATTGATGTTTCAATCCCCCTCTTTCTCCCTCCCTTCCCCATGTCTCTAAAAATAAATAAATAAAATATTAAAAAAGAAAGAAATGAAGACAGTACCTTGTTCAAAAGCTCTGCTCACGCTGTCAGTCAACTCTTTCTGTTTCGCTGAAAGAGAAAACCATTATCTTAATTTTTCCATTTAAATAGACTCGTGATATGAAGACAAGGCTGCATTCCAGAGAGGGAGGGATGTTACAGTCTAATCTCCAGACAAAACTGGTTTCAGTATACCCAAGAAAAAGATACTCCCTGAATCACTACGAAGACCAGTATGTATTCTTTACATTCGTTTTTGACTTAAACAATGGAAATACACTCATAATAATGCATTTGGTGGTATTTTATCTTTTACCTCTGACAATACATTCAATCTCTTTCATGGCAGCTTCAGTCTGAGCCTCTGCAAGCTTTTCATTGATATCCATTATGTCCATGAGGAATTGCCTGTCCATTTTATAATCTGTTCCTTCAGGAATCTCTACTCCATGGAGCTTTAGCTATTGGGGCACAAAGATGGGGAAAGAAGTTGTGTTCAAGAAACTATGGCCAACATCATAAATCCTACTCACCTTTCCAAACAGAATACTACTCACGGAAAACCTGAACTATCCTAATAATGAAAGTGTGCTGGAAACTCAGACTGAGAAAGGAATGCTTGGACAGGATCCCTTTCTGCTACTTAGAAGTGTGTGGCCCTGAGGGAGCCATTCCTTCACTTCTGAGTTTGAACTAGACATTTGTAAAGATTCTATTAAGTCCTAAAATTCTAAGGTACTCACCTCTACCTTCCTCCCAAACCTCCAAATTACTTTCCTAAAAGCCATCACCATACAACCTTGAAATTTATAGAAAATGGTTTAAAAAAAATGCAAGTAATGGTTTAAAAATGGGCGAGTAAGATTTACAGAGAATATTCAGAGAAAAATACACGTATGTAGTATCTTTGGGTCCCTGAATTGGCTCAGGGCTCAAGCACTCCTCTGCTGAACACAGGGAGGCAGCAGGGGTGTCCAACCCCTGGCCCATGGGTCGCATTCCTAGCCATCCCGGGCTGCATGCGGCTCGGGATGGCTAGGAATGTGACCCAACACAACATTGTAAATTTAGTTAAAACATTATGTGATTTTTTGTGATTGTGTGTCGCAATATATTAATGTGTGGCCCAAGACAACTCTTCTTCTTCCAGTGTGGCCCAGAGATGCCAAAAGGTTGGACACCCCTGCCTTAGTGCAATGGACACCAGGTAGTCACTCATAGGAGGGTTGGGAAATCACCTTACAAGGTATAGTCCCCTACTCAGGGGGGCCAGAAGGGTCTTATAGGCATCATTCACCAGGGTTGAATGCTTCTCTGAGAAGTCCTTTTCAGTCTGTAGTGGAGAAGACAGTCTTATTACCATCCAAATCAGCCATCTTACATTAACAAATTGTTTCATAAAATACTGATGGGCAGGGACCTAAGGAAGTGGCCAAAATAGAACTGGTGTGGGACGAGCTGTATTTATCTTCAACGGATGGGTTCTAATTCTAAAGGGCAGGTCCAGGGCCTGGCTGGCTGGGGTCTGGCTGCCACAGGGTGGAGCTGGCTGTCCAGCTCTGTCTTGGAGAATCAAATAACTACAAGGCCACAGCCACCCACCTGGAATGCACACGTGTTTGGGTATGATTAAGGATGGCCAATGGACTACCTGAGATCTCTGGCTGAAGAAATCTGGGTGGACAAGACGCTGTAGTTGTTGGTACCTATGCTGGAGCTTTGTAGTGTCAACTCTGAAGGAACGGTTGCTGGAAGGAAATTGGGAGACAAAATTCATGCATCAAATATTTATAGATTTGTATACTATGGGCCTGGTTCCTGTTCCCATGAAGGAATATGCAATAAACATGCAGACAGGGATAATTTCCAAAAGTGGTAGGTGCTGTGAAGAAAAACAGAATAGAGTCAGAGAGAGTGGGAGATGTGGGGGTCAAAGAGATGGCATTTGAGCTGCGACCTGAATGATAATGAAGAGTGGTCAAAGATCACAGGAGAATCATCTAGACTGAGGAAGCATGCCAGTTTGGCACCTCCGAGGACCATAAAAAAGTTTTGTTACCGCAGTCCATCCTAAGTGCTCAATGACTGGTGGGGGCAGATTCCAGAGATAAGGGGAAGGGGCATGACCAAGTCCCACTATGAAATTTTTCCAAGGCCACGGTCCCTTCATCTGTCAACCAATGTGTTTTAACCCAATCCCTTTCGCTCTCTATTCGCAGAGCCTGCCCTATCTCTCAGTTTAGCTTTGACCAAATTTCACCACCTCTCCAAGGTCCTCAACCTTCGGAGGAACAGGAAAAACACCCATTTCTCAGATTCTCTCCCTCCAATTCTCACGTTTCCCTTAGACTCTGCCCACCAAGTTGGGCTTTCCGTGTTTTTACTGCATTATTTTGGATAATACCTCAGTACTCCCTTCTTAAAAAGTTTCAACCCAACTTTAATTGTTCTGACCCCATCCCTCAACTCTCCTTTCTCTAAGGCTCTTCAAGTAACCCTTCCCTCAGGTCCTGCCCCTCAAGCCTCCCTCTCCGTAGCCTCCGGCACTCAATTTCTTCTAACTTTATTCTGTGCAACTCCAGTCCTCCCTCCACTCTAGTCTCCATCCCTTGAGGGTCGCTATTCATTTCCTCTTTTCCAAGTTACACCCCATCTTCCATTCTCCCAAACCCCTTCCTCTTCCCCTGGTCTCCGGGGTTCCGTCCACCTACCTAACTGGTCCCACCTTCTTTCCCAGATCTGTTCCGCCCTTCCCTCTCGCATGACATCTCCTCACTCTCTCACGCCCTGCGCGTTTCCCAAAACCGCCTCCCGTACCAGTCCATAAGGCTGAAGTGGTCTCTAGTGGGATCAGGTGGCTGCAGCGCCCGGCACTGTGGGCAGAAGAACCCGTCCCCCTCAATGAGGTTCCCTGAGCCGCCGCAGTTCCAACACTGGGGGGAGTTATTTCCTTTCAGTGACGCAGCATTGCAGCTTAGTGGTTTCCTTCCGAGGACCCCTGTCAGCCAAAACCCCGCTACCCGGGGCAAGGCCCCGACCCTCCCACCCAACATCTGGCCCACGGCCTATTTCGATGCGGTCAGTCGGGCAGGGGAAACGCAGAGACAGCCGCCGACCAGATTAGTGCTGTTGATTGGCCGGAGAGCTGAGGGGGCGGGATCACTCGGGGGAAACCTGGACTGTGAGTCCCGCTCTACGTTTTAAACTACAACTCCCAGCAAGCAGTGAGGCTACGCTTGGACAGCCCTTGCTCCTCATTGGTTCAGAAGCAGCAGCGGAGGGGTGTTTTGATTGGTTGAGAGTGAAGTTTGTATTTGTTTAGCGCCACACCGCCAGCTGCAGGTACTGAGAATCTGTGGTTCCCGGTGGGCTCACGAGGTGAGTCTTAAGGGGGAACTTTTCTTGGATGTTTGGGAGTTCGAATCCTGACTTCAGCGTTCTAATGTGAGCCGAATCTCCCAACCTTCCGCTTTGTCTTCCTTTTTGAGCCCGGGGCGTGGGGGATGGTGAGGTTGGAGAGGAGTGTGTGGGCGACTCTCTTCCTTCTTTGCAGATGAACTTCCAGGTGAAGTTCATTTCTCCTGTTACTTAAAAGCTGAAGCTGGCCCAGACGTGCAGCATAAGAAGCAGCAAAGTTGTAGTCTTCAAAATCAGAGCGAAGTTGCTTTGTAAAGAGTTCTATAAATATTAGTAATTATTACCGTACTTTAGGTTTAATCTCAAATACCTATCGAGCGCCTTCTGCTACGCGCTGCAGGAACTGGATACACACTGACCTGTGTAGAATTGCCTGCAAGTGTCCATAAGTAAGTGTGTGTAAATGGGGTGGCGAGGAGGGGGTGGGAAAGCACCAGTCCTCCTTGGTTTCTTTATTTGGAAAAAAAAAAATGTGTTCCACTTGTAAAGTGCTGTTTGGTTCTTTGGGACTGGAATTCTATGCTCCAAATTATCAAGCATTGCTGGGGGAGGAGTTTACATGCATCATTTCATTTAACCCTCAATATCTACTTTTATCAGATAAGGTTCCAAGAGGTTGTAATCTACCTAAAATAAAGATCATGCAAAGATCTGACTCAGGCATCTGACTGCAGACCTATTTGCCTCTAACCACTCCACTGTACCTCATGGCTGAGGCTAGTGTGGTCCCCACCTGGTTGATCCTTATTTATCATAAGCGATGATAGCTACCTCTTGACACACTATCTTTTGCCAGTCTTCAGGGTGGAGAAGTCTCTCTCAGAAAACTGCAGAAGAACACGGCCTGGCTGAGGTAGTATCAATGCAGCTGGAGTGGCAGACTCAGCTCTGGCATCACCTTCTTCCTTTGCTTTAAGGAAAACTCATCAGGACTTTTGTATTTGGAAAGCTGTGTAAATGCAGTCAGTGTGAGTAATGCTTACTATGTTCTCTGGAAGGTGTAGTCTGAATGTGGGAATTTGGAGAGAAAGTACCTTTAAAAAAGGATCAGATTAAGGATTTAAAGTTAGGGATTTGAAAGTTACTTTGACTTTACTGCCGGTTGTTATCAGAGTTTAACTGTCTTATTAAGTTAATTCTAAAACAAGGGTGGGAACCTCTGTTAGGGTCTTCTGTGGCTCAAAGAATGGCTCCTGCAAGATTCCAAAGGGCTGGAAGGCCTTTTAGGATGCTGAAAAAGATGAGGCTCTAGTTACTTAGCATCACAAAAGACTAGGTGGAGTTGTTTATAGCAGCCTTCTTTGTGTGCTGTCTGCCACTTTAAGTGGCCCTGCACTTAGCCGTTAAGGAATCTCTAATCAGCCAGCAGAATTTGGTCCTTACCTTCCAGAGCTGTTTTGGGGGAGGAGGAGCACCAGTGGTCTTTTATGTAAATGCCCCCACCTCACAGTGGTGCTACAAGTAACTGAGGTTTCTCTTTGCTTATCTTCTACTCCAAAGCCACCAGACCCTTCCCCTTCTTCCTCTTTCCAAACAAATGTGACATTTAAGGGTAGTGTTGGTTGTGTTAATGAATACATTTTAGGTTTTATTTCTAATTTTTAAAGATTGGTTGAATGTAAACTAAATCTTTTCCCCCACCTCAATGCCATTTCATTACTTTTTAAAAATTTATAGCCTTTGAATAATTTTTTTTTTTGCTTCTCTCCCCTGCAGTTTGTGGTTATCAGACAAAAACAAACAAACAAACACGAACAAACAAAACTGATCTAGAGAAAGTGATTTCATGAAAAACTCACCTGAGAACTCTAGGTCTAGACTGTTAGAATTTTACTTTTTTCAGAGCATGCTTGTCCTGGATTTTTTTTTTTTCCCCATTGCAATATGCTCATCCTTTACTCCTGTATTCTTAAGTCTTGTTCCTTGAAGCTCACCTTATTGTTGGCCATTTACTTTTTGAGGTCATGATGTCTCAGGAGCCAGAGGTGGAGTGCCAGCCGTCCCAGGGCAGCGGCGCCTGCTCACAGTCACAGGGCGTTTTCTCGCAGTCCCACGGCCCCTCTTCACAGGCACCAGGAGGCTCCTCACAGTCCCAGAGCACATCCAGCTCCTCTACCAGCACAGTGCCGACGTCCAGCCAGTCATCTCACTCCAGCTCGGGGACACTGAGCTCCCTAGACACAGTGTCCACTCAGGAACTGTATTCTATTCCTGAGGACCAAGAACCGGAGGAGCCTGTCCCTGCCCCTTGGGCTCGATTATGGGCCCTTCAGGATGGATTCTCCAATCTCGGTAAGACCCTTTGTTATATCGGGTACTATCAATATGGTGTTCAGAAAAACGAGTAAAGATATTTGTTGCAGCAGAAAGCTCAAGACGCTGCCAGTTGTAGGACCTGTACAAGTTGACCCAGGACAACAAGCACCTGTGCTAAGACTTGAACCTGTGCCAGATAACACAGTTCTGTGTTGAAGTTTTGAAGAACTGCAGACTTGTCCACACGCAGAGGCTATATCATTTTACGTTCCCACCAGGAATTTATGAGAGTTCCAGGTGCTTTGTATCTTCAATACTTGTTATTTTCCTTTTGGAAAAAAATTATAGCCATCTTCATGGGTATGAAGTGGTTGCCTATGTGATTTTTGATAGATCTTGCCAAATTATCCTCCCTAGATGAGGTAAAGTTATATTCTGACTGGCAATTTATGAGAGTAGCTGCTTCTTCATAATTCTTATAACCATAATGTAATATGGGCCTTTTTGATTTTTGTTAATCTGATCATTGGAACATAGAATCTTAATATATTTTTGGTTTTTAAAATCTCTTGTATTGAGCCCTGGCTGATGTGACTGAGTTGATTGAGTGCTGGCCTGTGAATCAAAGGGTCGCCAGTTCAATTCCCAGTCAGGGTACTTGCCTGGGTTGCTGGCCAGGTCCCCAGTAGGGGGCATGTGAGAGGCAGCCACAAATTGATGTTTCTCTCCCTCTCTTTCTTCCTCCCTTCCCTTCTCTAAAAATAAATAAATAAAATCTTTTAGAAAAAATGTCTTGTATTGAGTTGGCTTGGCCATCTTGTCATATGTTTCAGACATTTGTATTTCTGTCTCTTGTAACTTGTTTCTATGTACCTTTCACACTTCCTTTTAATCCTCACCTAAGGACATGCTCATTGATTTCAAGAGAATGGGGTGGGGGGGGGAAATAGAGAGGGAGAGAAACATTGACCTGAGAGAGAAACATTGACCTAATAGAGAAACATTGGCAGCCTCTTGCACACGCCCCAACTGTGACTGCGCCCCAAGAGGCTGTGTGCGCTGACCTGGACCAAACTGCAACCTCGGCATGTGCCCTAACTGGGAATTGAACCCATGATGACACTCCAACCAACTGAGCCACACCTGCCAGTACTTCATCCATTTTCTACTGGGTTGCTCATCTTCCTTCCTTCCTTCCTTCCCTCCTTCCTTCCTTCCTTCCTTCCTTCCTACCTTCCTTCCTTCCTTCCTTCCTTCCTTTCTTTCTTTTTTTCTTTCAATAATTTTATTTTAATTATTGTTCAAGTACAATTTTCTATCTCTGTCTTTTTCTTAATTGGCTTGTAGGAACTATATATGTTAGGGAAATCAGTTCTTTGTGATATGAATTGCTAATATGTTTTCTAGTCTGTCTTTCCAGGAATATTTACATGCCTAGCATATGCATTGTCCTAGGTGCTGGAGCTGTGCTTTGAAACGAGAGACTCAAGGCTGCCCTCCTGATGTTATGTTCTAACAGGGGAATGCCGGGAGACAATATATACAAATAATCAAGATAATTTCCTGTTACGGTCTATACTTAGAGGGAAATGAAACAGGCTGTCGTTAACAGTAATAGATGTGTGGTGAGGTGGGAGTCTCCTTATGCTGAGTGGGAGAAGATAATCTGAGTCCAGACACAAAGGCAAAATGACCATTGAAAGAAATCACTGGGAATAAAGTATGCAAAGGCCACCACATGGGACCGTGAAAGGAATCCAGTGGGGCTGGCTGGATGGAGCCAAGTGGAGGGGCACAAGGCGAGGCTGGAAGGGGCATCTAGCCTGCCGTGAGAAGGAGTGCAGATATGCTGGGTTTGATAGGAAGCCTCCGGAGGGTAACGAGTAGAAAATTATTACATCGTAAGTATTTTTCCAGATGATTAAATCTGGAGGACTTTCAATGACCGCTTGTTATTTCATGGTTATATATAAACCATAATTTATTAAACTCAGTGTTGGAAAATTTTTGTTTCTTCTCCTCATTTTTAATCTTAGAACATCTTGAGAAATGAATCTATCATTTTGATTGCCTTCTTAGGCTATTTTCCTACTAGTACATGTTATGAGCAATTTTTAAAGGTGTTTGATACGTGACATTCAACAGCTCTCTGGTGTGTGCTTTGGTGTTCCAGAGTGCGTTAATGACAACTACTGGTTTGGGAGGGACAGGAGCTGTGAGTACTGCTTTGATGAGCCACTGCTGAAAAGAACGGATAAATATCGGACTTACAGCAAGAAGCACTTTCGGATTTTCAGGGTAGGTGACACATAAGCACATATTTGGAAGAGCTGGTAATCTAGACATCACTCTTCGATATCTTCCCACGATAACTCCCCTCTGTTAAAACTTTGAAATCAAATGTTCTCTATTTCAGGAAAAGGGTCCTAAAGACTCTTACATCGCTTATATAGAAGATCACAGTGGGAATGGAACCTTTGTAAATAGAGAACTTGTAGGGAAAGGAAGACGCCTTCCTTTGAGTAACAATTCTGAAATTGCACTTTCAGTGTCGAATAATAAAGGTAACTCATTATTTTATGGTTATTGGATTGTTTTTCCTTCCATAAAAAGGAAAATTGAGCCCTGACCAGTGTGGCTCAGTTTGTTGGACATCATACCACAGAGCTAAGGGTTGCTGGTTCAATTCCCAGTTGGGGCACGTGCCTGGGTTGTGGATTTGGTCCCCAGTGGGGGTGCGGATGAGAGACAGCTGATCAGTGTTTCTCATATTGATGTTTCTGTCTTTCTGCCTTCCTTCCCCTTTCTCTATTAAAAAAAAAGGAAAAGGAAAATTGACATTGTGTTCTTTGTAGAATGCTGAGGGAGGACCCCCTCCAATTGGAATTACCTTCTGGAGGGCAGACCCCTTGTAATACAGGCTTCCCCCACTAGGTGAGTGTTCTAGGAACCCATCTGTATTAGTGTACCAGCTGGCGTTGTTGTGAGAGGCTGAATTTGGCTTCAGTGAATTTTTTTGAAGACAACACGTTTGCTCATTTCATGGTGGATGATATACAAGCACACCTGCCCACACCACACTGAGTGTTCAGCAGATTTTGACCAAAAACAACATGACTCACATGCCCCACCCTCCCTGTTCACCCAATTTCACCCTGAACAACTTTTTATTGTTTTCCCGGATGAAAAGAGTCCTCAGAGGGAAACATTGTGCAAGTGTGGAAGAGGTGAAACAAAAAAAGGCAGAAACACTAAAAGGCATTAAAATCGATAAATTCAAAAACTGTTTTGAGCAGTGGAAAAAAAGTCTTGATAAGTGTCTTGCATCAAATGGAGAGTACTTTGAAGGTGACTGAAATTTAAACATGTAAGAATTAATACACAATTAAAAATATTTTATTATTTTTAGAGAGAGTGGAAGGGAGGAAGAGAGGGTGAGAACATCCATGTACAAGAGTCACATTGATTAGTAGCCTCTCACACACCCTCAACTGGGGACCTGCCCTGCAACCCAGGCATGTGCTCTGACTAGGAATTGAACTAGTGACCTTTTGCTTTACAGGATGATGCCCAACCAACTGAGCCACACAGGTCAGAGTAAGTAGGGTGGTTTTTTTGTAGTTGTTTTCTTTTTCTGATATAGAGCATGCATAATGGAGAAATAAGGGGAATTTTGAGGGAAGTGCTATTTATTTAACTTTACAAGTAGGTTCAAGATGGTTTGCACAATAAATACCGATCTATAAAGGTGTAAATGGCTAAAAGAAGATAATTCTAGTGTGATAATCTGTGGCTTAATTTTTATTGGGATATTTATTGCCTCAAACAGTTTTATCTAGGCTGAAACTTACTGCTTTCAGATTCTGGTCTTTTGTCATCTGCATAGGTATTCTATATTAATGCAATTGATTAATATTCTGAGGTCCTGGAATAAGACATATTTATATATGGATTTTATGCACTATAGTGAGAAAAGTCATTGAAGAATGACTTTTGTCACAGTTTTCAATAGCTTCTATGATATATTTTAGCCTAGCTAAATAATTTCTTTAGGGTTAGGTATTAAATGTAATTAAAACAATCATCTTATATTTTAAATATTAACTAAAATTTAGGACCACTCATCTTCTCTTTAACTAATGAATTAATGAGACATATTTCTGCCATTTTTCCCTTAGTTTTTGTATTTTTCGATCTGACTGTGGATGATCAATCAGTTTATCCCAAGGAATTAAGAGACAAGTACATCATGTCAAAAACTCTTGGAAGGTAAGTTTTTTTTTTCTTGTGGAAATTGTACTTAATTTTTTTTTTAAACACTTATTGCTTAAAATCAGTTTTTTTGTTCCTGGTTATAGAACATTCATTATGTATTCATAATATATTTGTAGGTCACTGATTTGTTATAGGTGTGTTATTGATTTATTTTTAATGTGATCATTTGAAATGAATAGTTTTTTCATGTAAATTTTATCTGTTATAATTTTTTAAAAGAAGTTTTAGTGAGATACTATTCACATACCATACAGTTCATACATTTAAAGGACAATTCAGTGATTTTTAACCTCCTGAAAAGAAATGTTTACTGCATTTTTGCCCCACTCAGAACTTGTGACATCTTGGGAAGTGAAATGAAACTGACCATTGAACAGGACAAAGTTCTCAGAATATTTGGTCTGAGGACCCCAAAGAGCTTTTTTGTTCATGTGTCTTCAGTCTATTGATATATACTGTATTAGAAATTAAAATGGAGATGTTAATATTTATTCATTAAAAATAAACTCACTTATGTTAGGATAAATAACATTAGTGAAAAATAATTATTTTCAAAAAGATTGAGGAAAAGGGCATTATGTCACACTTTGCAAACCTTTTTGCTATCTAGCTTACTAGAAGATAGCTAGACCCTGATATTTGTTTCTTTTTTAAATTTACATTTTATTGATTATGCTATTACGGTTGTCCTGATTTTTCCCCCTCTGTCTGCCACCACACCGCACCCCCCACTCCCTCAGACAGTTCCCACATCATTGTTCATGTCTGTGGCTCATGGCTGTAAGTTCTTTGGCTTCTCCATTTCCTATATTGTGCTTTATGACCCCATGGCTATTCTGTAACTACCTATTCGCACCTCTTAATCCCTTCACCTCTTCACCCATTCCCCCAAAGCCCCCCTACCATCTGGCAACCATCAAAATGCTCTCCATATCCATGATTCTTTCTCTGTTCTTATTTACTTAGTTTGTTTTTTTTTAGATTCAATTGTTGGTAGATATGTGTTTTTTTGCCATTTCATGATTCATAGTTTTGATCTTCTTTTTCTTAAATAAGTCCCTTTAACATTTCATACAATAATGGTTTGGTGGTGAAAAACTACTTTAGTTTTTTCTTGTCTGGGAAGCTCTTTATCTGGCCTTTGAGTCTAAATAATAGCTTTGCTGGGTAGAGCAGTCTTGGCTCTGGGTCCCTGCTTTTCATGACTTTGAATATTTCTTGCCAATTTCTTCTAGTCTGCAAACTTTCTTTTGAGAAATCAGCTGACAGTCTCATGGGAACTCCCCTCTAGGCAACTAACTTCTTTTCTCTTGCTGCTTTTAAGATTCTCTCTTTATCTTTAACCTTTGGCATTTCATTATGATGTGTCTTGATGTGGGTCTCTTTGTATCCATCTTGTTCGGTACTCTCTGTGCTTTCTTGACTTGCATGTCTATTTCCTTCACCAAATGAGGGAAGTTTTCTTTCATTATTTTTTCAATTAGACTTCCAATTTCTTACTCTTTCTCTTCTTCTGGCACCCCTATGATGCAAACGTTGGACCTCTTGAAGTTGTCCCAGAGGCTGCTTACACTAACCTAATTTTTTTTGGATTTTTTTCTCTTTTGTTCTGATTGGTTGTTTTTTGCTACCATATATCTAAATTGTTGATTCTCAGCTTCATCCACTCTGCAGTTGTGTCTTTGTAAATTGTTACTTATTTCAATTAGTGTATCCGTAGTTTCTGACTGGATCTTTTTTATGCCGTTGAGGTCCTCACTGAGTTCCTTGAGCATCCTTATAACCCAGTGTTTTGAACTCTGGATCTGATAGATTGCTTATCTCCATTTTGTTTAGTTCTATTTTTGGAGTTTTGATATGTTCTTTCATTTGAGCCATGTTTCTTTGTCTCCTTATTTTGGCAGCCTCCTTGTATTTGTTTATAAGTATTAGTTAGAGCTGCTTTGACTCTGTCTTGGTAGTGTGGTCTAATGTAGTAGGTGTCCTGTAGAGTCCAGTGGTACAGCCTCCCCTATCACCCAAGCTGGGTATTCAAGGTGTGCCCTTCATGTGGGCTGAGTACACCCTCCTCTTGTAGTTGAGCCTTGGTCGCTGTTGGCAGATCACTGGGAGGGGTTTACCCAGGCCAGTCAGCTGCAAGGATTGGCTGTGACCACTGACCACCAACCTCTGTCCTCCATGGTAGATCAGCTGTGCAGGGGCAGAGAGGTGTTGCTCCAACGTGTTTTGTAGCTGGCCCTGGGTGGTGCAGGCCATGGTCAGCCCCCACCTGTGTTTTGCTGGGCTTGGAAATTTCCAGGCAAAGCCAAGCTGTTAATTTAGGCTGGCTGCTGCTAGTGCTGTGTCTGGGGTTCACTGAGGCCAGCTATTGTTCTTTGAGGAGATTTAGGAAGTTGTGAAGCAGGAGCCAAGATCAGCCATTCATAGGAAAAGCAGCCCTTGGGTGGCCCATAAATTGGGTGGGGCTGAGTCTCTGGGGATCTCCAAGGTGGGTCAAACAGTGCTAGCCAGGTTGATGGAGTCTCAGATCTGGCGCCAGTCGCTGGTTCTAGTTTTTGGAGGGGGGCGGGGGCTAGAAAAGGGACAATGGCCTCTGCTTACCTTGATGCCAGAGACTTCAGTTCTTTCCTTTATGCCACTGGTGCCTTTCAAACTGCTACCCCAGTGCTGGAGCACAGAGGGAGTGAACCTGAGTAGGCGAGTCTGTATGTGGGTTCTTTAAGAGGAACTGTTTGGGTCTACAGCAGTTTCTTCGACGGACTCAATCCCTGCTGGGTTTTGCAGCCAGAAGTTGTGGGGACTTATCTTCCTAGCACTAGAACCCTGGGCCTGGGGGCCTGGTGTGGGTCTGGGTATCCCCAGTCCTGAGATATCCCTCCCGAATTTTTATCCACCACACTGAGGGTCCAGTTCATTCATTGTCTGGGCCCTTCCTACCAGACTGGATGGATGTGGTTTCTTTAATTCCGCAGTTGTCAGACTTTAATTCAACTCAGTGTCTGTCGGTTCCAAGTGATGGTTGTTTTGTAGTTTAGTTGTAATTTTGACATGATTGTGCAAAGAGGTGAGCCATGTCTGCCTATGCCACCGATACTTACTTCTTTATTCAGTCTGTTTTGACATCGTGTGCCATGTAGACTTTGGAAAACTATATAGTTAAGAGAGAATGAAAATGAAAAAGACACCTGTATGTCTTAGTATTATTCTGAAAATAATTTTGACTTTGTAGACACCTAGAAAGAGTCTTGGGGGTCCTTTAGGGGGTTCCCTGATCATACTTTGAGAACCACTTTTTTAGGGAGGGTATTCTGGATACCTTTACCACATTCTACAATGTCCTTCATCCTATGATTCCTTCCCCACCCCAAATACCTTTCTAACCTGTTGATATTTTTAGTAACATGAACATAGAAAAAAATGGAAGGAAATCATCATCTGTATTCCTGCTACACAGAATCAAGCACTGCATACTTTTTATGTCCATCTATGAGAGATATTTTAGCTTATGGACATTAAATTCAGTAACTCATTGTGTTTCCATATTTGCTTTGGCTGCTTGGAAGCTCATAGCCAAATTTGTGCCTACCCTTAAGAAATAATATGGGACTCTTATTTTTTTTTTTTTATGGGAGGATTCAATACACATCCTCTAACTTGTAGCAGGTGACAAACTTAAATGAGTCAGTTAAGAAATTTATTTGCTCTCGTAATTAGGAAATACAGGGGCACAGCTGACTTCAGGCATGGCTGGACCGGGTGGCCTTTGAGCTTTATTTCACTCTTGAATTCTGACGTTCGACTGGGCTTTGTCTGTGGCTAGAGCTGAAGGCTCCCACAGTGTTGTTATGGCTGTGGCTTGGTCTCTTGATTCAGCTACAATTTGTTGCCCACGTATAGAATTGCTGTCTCTGTGCAGCAGGGAAAACAGCTTTCAGGAGTTCAACATTCATGTTTTGTTTTGTTTTTCTTTTAGAAACCATAGGGGAGAGAATTGTTTCTCTCCCAACATCAGCTTTTGATTCCAGGGACAATCCTGATCAACTTAATTTTACTTGTCTACCCCATATTCTACTAGCGAGTGTTGTACTATCATAGGCACTCCCCTGCACTCAGGGAAGACTTCGCAGGCAAAAGGTGACTGTTACCAGCAGAAGGGGAATTGGAAGATGGTTTGAGCATTTTAAATGATAATAGTTACCTGGACCATCCTCACGTAGGGACAGCTCCTTTGATTTGGCAGTGGCTACTTTAATCTGGCATCAAAAGCACAAGCAACAACAGAAAAAAAAAATAGGTATATTAGACTCCATCAAATTTAAGAACTTTTTGTGCATCAAAAGACATTGGCGGGAGAGTGAAACAACTCACAGGATGAGAGAAAATATTTACAAATCATATATCACAAAGATTTCGTATCCAGAACGGAGAATTCCTAACAACTCAAAACAAAAAAGAGAACCCAATTAAAAAATGGGTCAAGGATTTAAATAGACATTTCTCCAATGAAGATACACAAATGAGCAAAAACCACATGAGAAAATGTTTAGCATCATTGGTCACTAGGGAAATGCATAACCATAGTGAGATACCACTTCACACCGGCTAGGATGGCTGTGAGAAAGCAAGGGAAAATAGTAAGTGTGAGGATGTGGTGAAATTGGAGTCCTCATACACTGCTGGTGGGAGTGTAAAATGGGGCAGCCACTGGGGGAAATAATGTGGTGGTTTCTCAAAATGTTAAACATAGAACGTTGCGGCTCTCCTCACAATAGCCAAAAGGTGGAAATAACCTGAGTGTCCATCAACAGTTGCATGGATACACAAGTGTGATGTATCCATACAATGCCGTGTTATTTAGTTATAACAAGCAATGAAATACCGATACACATGCTACAATGTGAATGAATCTTGAACCCATGCTAGTGAAAGAAGTCAGACACCAAAAAGCTACAATATTGTGTGATTTTATTGTCAATAAGATATTTGGAATAGGCAAATTTGTAGATTTTTGGAATAGACAAAAAGCAGATTATTGGTTGCCAGGAGCTGAGGGCAGGGTGGGATGAGAGTGAATACTTAGCAGATGTAGGTTTCCATCTGGGCTGGTAAAATTGTTCTGGAACTGGACAGGGGTGGCAGTTGTAGAACACTATAGATGTTCTTAGTACCACTGAATTGTACACTTTGAAATGGTTACAGTGCTAAATTTTATGTTATGTACACAATACATACATAATACGGTACGCAATAAAAAAGAGATCTTGACCAACGCTTCATGCCACCCAAACCCATAATAGTTCTAATGGTCTACTTCAAGCACATAATGAATGATTGGTGTTCAGGTAGGTGTGACCTTGGGCTGACCATGCTTTTGGAGAAGAGCACCGACATGGGATTAACGATGTACTGGGTGGCATCCTAGGTTTGCATTCCTCCTGTTTTACAGTATCCCAATCCACTGTAAATCTTTGAGAGCTCACTGCAAGCTCACTGCAAGCAGGTTAATTGTGTAGAACTTTTGGTTTCCTAGGTATTGTAAGTTTATTTAGGGTACAATTCACGGCATCAACTAACTGCTCACGCACTTCCTTGAAGGCAGAAAATAAGATAGAAATGCGTTAATGAAAATAATTAATTTGCAGAGATTGTTTGCTGTAACTTGTTTCAGGCACTTATTTTTGACTAGGACTTTGTTTTGTTGGGTGTTTCTCTGATCTCTGGGATAAGGCACTTCTCCTTGTCCTGAGTGTCTTTATGAGAAGGTTGCTGTCTGGGTTGCCAGTGGGACCGACTGTATCAGCTCAAAACGTGCAGTTTGGAGCTGACCTGGTGTTGGATGGCCCACATTCACTTACGGCCTTGCCGTGTTACGTCGGTGAGGTTTCACCATGTTCGTAAACAGGAACAGTGGAAGGATTGTGTATGCACTGCTTTTGTGTCCTTGTGTCCTTGTGTGGGTGTGTGGGTGTGATCCTTGTGCAGGGGCCATGCTAATTTCTGTATCGTTCCAATTTTTCAGCGTATGTGCTGCGAAGCGAGCACTGGACCACCTTTAACTTGCAATAGTTGAGGCGAAGTCAGGAGTGGTGGGTCTCTTGATTAAAAGCAGTCTGACAATCACTTTCCATGTTTTTCCCTGTAGTGGGGCCTGTGGTGAGGTGAAGCTAGCCTTTGAGAGGAAAACATGTAAGAAAGTAGCCATAAAGATCATCAGCAAAAGGAAGTTTGCTATTGGCTCCGAGAAAGAGGCAGTAAGTACCTGTTTTTGGCTGCTCAGCTGTTCTTAACACTTCTTAATTTCCGAGAATAATTTTGGAGCAGTTATTTTCACTGTCAGGATGAATTTACTGTTCAGGTGTGTGAATTTGTATCAAAGAACATTGACAATATTTGAGCGTATTCAAGTAATCTAGAAACTTATAAATAATTTGGTTCCGAAAAATATTTGGTTGCACTTAATACTGTGCTAGCAGGAAGTTGGGTTTTTTGTCTTCTATGTTGTCACAAGACTGTTTTTACAATAAATGAAAGGAAATTAGGGGGAAAAAACCCCAGCCATATATATCCCCCACCACTGTAAACCACAGCTGTTTTCAGTTTTCTTTTTCTTTTCTAGCCTTTGTTCGTATGAGTTTGTTTTTAGATGGTCGAAATCACATTGTATATACAGTTTTGTAGTCTGCTTTTCCATATGAACATGAATGCATAAGCTTTTGTGTCCTTTTTGATGGTCAAGTCTCTATTTCATCAACTTTATCGTAGTTTGCTCAACCATTTCTCTGTTTGATCAGTTAGATAAGTTCTTTGCACTTCCCAGTAATGTGGCAATGGCTACCTTCATGTTTATAGATTTTTAAAAATCGTAATTAAATTACTTTACTAGTTCCTTTGCATACTAGCCATTCGTTTGATTACATTTTATGTAATACATTCTTACTGTGTGAATGAAATGGCCAAGTGTATTGGTCTTTTAACAGATGACTCAACACAGTGATGTAAAATGTGGCCCGCAATCACGTTTTCCTTTGTGGCCAGCTGTTTCTGGCTATTATACTTTAACATTCCTTAAAGATGAATTTTTTTTTCCCCCTAAGACAATGCCATTCTCACACAGCAAGAGGAATTTCCTTTCTGTGTTCATTTTGTTATAGATCTTTTCCCCTGTGATTCTGGATTTTGTTTCCCATTTGGTGGAGAAAGATTCTTAATGACTTGCTGCAAAATTTTAGTTCTTAATTTCATCTTTCAAATCGTTTTGAACTCTTTTAGACCTCTCTATCATCAGAGCACACCCTGACTTAGTAATGAGTTTAACGGCTTACAGGAAGAGGCAGGCTTTTAAAATTAAACATCTGGGTTTCTTAGCTGAAGTCCATTTTACATAAATATGTAATTCTATATCCTCTGTGCTCATGGAGGGTGTAGCCCATGAGGTTGAGTAACTTGATTCATCCTTTTGGAATTGCAGTGGAGAACAGCTTCAGTACCCTGAAGCCTCCTCTCGTTAAGAATCTCAATAAATATGTCAGCCTGCAGTTGAAATCGAAACCTGTGTCTGCTGTATTCTTAGATATTTGATTTGACAGTTTCTTAATATAGTTTAATTAAATAACCTTGTTGTTTGTGGATTTGTTTGTTTTATCATTTTTATGACTGCAAACAATTCCATAGCTAATGAGACAAGCAGAACTTAACGGGTGAGCATGAGAACAGTGGAAACACTTGTTTTGGGCTATGGGAACTGGAGCAAGTGGCTTCCTTTCTCTGAGCCTCAGTTGCTCTGTCTGTAAAATGGGGATTATTGTGGAACCCAGTTTACTTGGGGATTGATTATGAGGCTTATGTGAGATGATATTTTTAAATAAACAGCTTGTTCATTTATTGAATGCCTCCTATTTGCCAAGCACTTTACACAGTGATTTCAGGCGAGTTGTTTTAATCATTATCCTGTGGGCTTTGATTTCTCTGTCTGAGTAGAGCTGGGTTTGGAACTCAGTCAGCCGTTACTCAACAAAGTTTAACTGTGAATATTTTCTAAATATTGGCTATTATTATTATTAATAAACTCTAATGTTATTTTATTTATCCAAGGATCCGGCTCTCAATGTTAAAACAGAAATCGAAATTTTGAAAAAATTAAATCATGTGAGTATTGCTGTAAAATATGGCTCATACTTAAAATCATTTATCTGAAAATAGGGGAGGAGTACAAAGCATTTTGATGCAATAAAGCTGGTATTAACCTGGGTTCTGTAACTGTGTGTGTGTACACATACATACGGGTGTTTACTTGTCATTTACCCTGAACTTAAAAAAAAAAAAAGATTTTACTGGTGTTTTAGACAGAGGGGAAGGGATGGAGAAGGTGAGGGAGAGATATATCATTGTGAGAGAGAAACGTCAGTGGGTTGCCTCTCGCACTTGCTCTTGCTCTCGGAGCAAGTCTCTCGGACTTGCTCTGACCAGGGACCGAACGTGCAGCCTGGGCTTGTGCCCTGACTGGGAACCTGACTGGGAACCAAACTGTGACCTTTCGCTTTGCAGGACAATGCCCAGCCAGCTGAGCCACACCGGTCAGGGCTACCCTGAACGTTTAAAAGGACAATACTGTGTAAAGATTTCATGATTAAATAATTATGTGATATTTACGCTGAATTAGTTCTTGAACGGAAGACATAGTCAATCTCCTAAGTTTTATATCTTACAGGGACTTTGTCAATTGGTTATGTTTGGGAAGATAATGCTATTTTGGTCAATTTGGTTTGATTATACCTGAAGTTTTAATACCTCTAAATACCTTTTGATGGTGCTGATTGCCATTTTCCTCAGTTGGAGTAAATCAAGTAAATCCAAGGGTTTCCAAATATGAATGACAATACCCTGTCCTTCAATCTGACTAAATGGTGTCAGTGTTAATAATTTCTATCGTTTTGTGCACTGCTGACCTTGTTACAATGGAAAGTTAAAGATGTGAAAAGGGAAGGTTAGAGGTGTGGGACCGACTCCATCTGCCTTGTAATTGTTCTCTCCGTTTCTTCATTAATTCATGAGCCCCCCTGAAGTCCTGAGTGAGGTGGACACTAGAGTGAAACTTGAAACAAGACCTCCAGTCTGTCTAGCTAAGGATGATCTTATTTTGATCCTTAACATCCAGACAACAAAAAGATTTCTTCTCCCTTCTCTCACCTCCTCAGATCCCCCAAACAAAGAGAAACTAAGACCAAAATCACTGCCATCAATACAACAATTCAACTCGTGGGTCGATTGGAAAATCCACGAGACTCCAAGCGGCCGACCCTCCTGCTCTGCTTTCTTCTAATTCCCTTGCAGCTCCTTTCTCTTCTCTGAACTCCCCTTTTCCGAGGTGTCTGGAATCTCTTGTTAAAGAGAGGAGCCCTCTAACTTGGGGGGTGGGATTGCCTCAAACATACCCCTAAGATAAACACTTTGAATGCCCAGAGAATTTTCTGTGGTGTCGGAGGGTCCCCAAACATAACGTTTATATAAATCCAGTGACCACTGCAATCGAGAGGAATTCAGAACCCTGTAAAAGGTCCTACTAGATATTACTTGGCAGTGTGCAAGGGCACGTGGAAGCCCCTGGGGATTCAGTATGGGCTCACGAGTTCACTGTGGGAACCACGAACAGAGCCTGGTAGCCCAGTAGAGCCTGGCCTTGGGAGTCAGGCACTGACTCGGTCAGCTGTCAAACACATTGTGTCAGCGTCTCTTCTAGTGGTGAGCACGCAGGGACTCGGCCATGCTTCCTCTCGTGTGGCCTGGGTCTGGTGGAGAGACAGACCTGGGTTCCCATCCCATCTGTCACCTGGCAGTGAGAAGGTCATTTCACTTTTCAGAGTAATGGACACAATAGGAGTACTTAACCTTGAAGGTCGGTGTGAGAATGAAATGAGATGTACTTGTAGAGCTTTCAGCATAGAGAATGCACTTGGGCAATGATAGAGATCTGTAGTTCCTTAAACTCTTCCCTGTATGACCTAAGTGGAGGATTGAGGTTAGTAGCCTCTGGTTCCTGAGATACACTTTCAGCGGTGCCAGCTCTAGCCAGTGACCCTGGGGACTGCTTTATGCCCTATTAGCTCCCAGCTACGCCCATTCCCAGGTGGTCAGTGCCTATTAAGAAGCCAAGCGGAACCAAGAAGTTGACTCAGCCGACGCAGTGCCTGGGGAAAGGAGACGTGTCTGTGCTTGGTAGTAATTTCCTGTCTCTGCCCTCCAGAAGCTCACAGCCTGGCAGGGAGACAGGTACTGAAGATGCAGGGTGGGGAGGCACAGGCCTGAACCACTGCTGGGTGTGTGGATGCATCGTGAGGGGCACATTTTAGCTGGGGCCCGATGCCTGAGGCCACATCTGCTTGGAAGGCTGGATCTCGAGGCAGGAGAGTTGCACAGGCAAAGGTGTGACACTGGAGAAGAGCACAGGGAATCCAGGTGACTGGGGAGCTTTGTGGCCCGAAGAGGAGGCTGCATGGGACGCGGAGCAGGAGATGAGATAGAGGCAGGAAGGCCTTGCTAATAACCCCTCTGAGAAGTTCAATTTTAGCCTCTAGGTAGCAGAGGACAAAAGGTTTTCTTGTCTTCTTTTCTGCCTTGCCACTTCTTCCTTCTCTCCGTCTGGAGACTCTCCTCCCTTCCTGTCTTTAAATATTTTAAAGTCATGTAATATTTGACACACGTAATAAATGTAAATTATAGAGCAAACCATTAGGACGAACACCTTTGAACTCACCATTCAACTTCAGAATGAAAACTTGACCATACAATCGAAGTGCTTCATGCTCTTTGAAGTCTCTCACGACTTGCCTTTTCCACTTGGCGTCATGTTTCCAAAACGCACCGTGCTGGGAGAAGCAGGGGGGCATTCAGTCACCGCTGTATAACAGTTCACCATGGGAAGGTGCCACTTGGGGGGTTTTAATCAGAGCAGTGGATATGGAGAAATGTGCTTTGTAGGGAGATCAGTCTGACAAGTTTTGCTACTCTTTAATCTAAAATCCTTACAGCTTTCTTCCCCTTAGTTCTGTTAAAATCACAGTCATCCTCCTTGCTGGGGCGTGGGGGTATGTCCCTGATAGATGCCACATCTTTTACATCTCTTAACCACTGAGCTCTGCTGTCCACCCTTTTTTATTTTTCTGTAAGAACCAATGGTTTGCTTTCTAAGCATCAAATCATTGTATTAAATATGCATTGTAAGCTACACAGTACTATTCTTTAATGTTACATGCATCCTGCATTGACCAGAGTCACAAACTATCAGCCATCAGTGTGTGTCTCCCTCACCCCACAGATGTGCTCCAGAGTTCTTATGAAACTGGAATTTCCCTTGAAAAATGGGAGGAGCCCTGGCTGGTGTGGCTCAGTGGATTGAGTGCCGGCCAGTGAATGAATCAAAGGTTTGCTGGTTGGATTCCCAGTCAGGGAACACGCCTGGGTTTGTAGGCCAGGTTCCCAGGAGGGGGCATGCAAGAGGCAACCACATATTGATGTTTTTCCCCTTCTCTTTCTCCCTTCCCCTCTCTAAAGATAAATAAATAAAATAGGAACAAAAAAAGAAAAATGGAAAGTTCTTGTCGCACAGCATTCCCATTACCCTGTAGTTCCAGTTATGCAGAGCTGAATAACCTGCTGTCTGTCCGCGTGGCTGGGCACCCACCTGGCCTGCTTTCCATTCTTGCTACTTGTCAGGCCCCTCCAGGGTATGTCCTTGAGCACCGACGCTCTGGGGCAGTGAGCAGGAGGGCTGGGAGGACACCAGGCTTCCTTCCGTGGTGCCATCCTTACGTGTGAAACGTGAACCAGTCCCTCGCCAACTTGGTGGGGCGGCAAGTTTCTTGTACGTTCTCACTGAGGAGCCACATTAATTCTGTTCTGCCCACTTTCCCGCATGTCCCAAGACGGGGCCAGACGCCTGGTCTTGGCCTCCCTGATCCCCTGGGCAAACGCTGTGAGTCCTGCTCTTGTGGTTTTCCTCTTGGGAGCTTCTCACTCGTTTTCCTCTTTTCCCTCTTTTAGCCTTGTATCATCAAGATTAAAGACTTTTTTGATGCTGAAGATTTTTATATTGTTTTGGAATTGTAAGTAGTAAGCTTTTTAAAAAAACTTGTTTCTATTTAAATGCTTATTTAAAGACTAAGGCTGGCTTGCGTTTCTCATCCTGGGGACCCTCAGTGTACGTGTGTGACGGTGGGGCCCACCAAGTACGCGAGGGGCTTAGTATCATATCTGAAACCCCTCCAGTGTTTTCAGAGGAAGGCAGCTCAGAGGTTCCAGGCCCTGGATCTGAGGCCTGGGTTTCGATCCCACTCTGCAGGTGACCCCTCCAGTGTTTTCAGAGGAAGGCAGCTCAGAGTTTCCAGGCCCTGGATCTGAGGCCTGGGTTTCGATCCCACTCTGCAGGTGACTAGCGGACTGCCCACGCTTAGCAGACTTCACGTCTCGATCTCATTTTCCTGGTATTAAATGGGGTAATAATGATCCACATTCACTGAGTCGAAAGGATGAAACTCTGTGAAGCCCCCAGCAGGGCACCTGGCACACGTAGGTGCTCAGTCACTGGGAGATATTATCACTCGGACATACCTGCCTTGGTGGGATTGTCTGCTTGGGATCACAGTACCAGGTTGCCTGGCCACACCTGAGGATCTTCGAGGTGCTGGTTTATTTCAGTGGCTCTGGCGTCCTATTTTATTTGGTGTGATCAGAATAATTTTCCATCTCATTCCTGGAAGAGGCCTGTCTGATGTCCATTCCTGCATAAATATGTAGTGTTTCTGGGAGCAGCCATTGTGGCAGACAGGCAAGGCTTGGCTCCCGAGTGGCTATGTAGGTTGTCTGCTAAGATTATACAGTGAAGAACAGTCTTGCTCAGAGCATTGGGAGAGACTGGACAGCCCTCGTGGTGCTCAAGGGGATATCTGTTGCTATTAAATAGAATGTTACCTGACTGACTGGGTCTAGTTAAAACAGTTTAAAAGTAGTAATAATACAATAACAGTAACGGATACTAATTAAGCACTTAATATGAGCCAAGTACTGCTCTAAGCACTTTACGTGGATTGAGTCATTTAATCTTCATAACAGCCGTCCACATAACTTACAAGTTACTGGTGGGTTACTCCTTTTAGCCCCACTTTACAGTGAAGGAAACTGAGGAGCAGAGGGATTGAGTAACCTTGCCAAGCAGCTGTACTGTGCCACATACGTCAATTATCTCTTAGTTTTTACAACAGTCCTCAAAGTAAGTGGGATCATCCTTATGTTTTGGGGAGGCAGAGTCAAAATCAGGGAGGTTACATAACTTGGCCTAAAGCCCCCCAGCTGGAAAGTTGCAGAGCTGGGGTTTAGACCCCTCATTATCTGGTTGTGTCTACTGTTGCTGGCTGCTCTGCTCCACTCCTGTCTCAGAAAACCCTGGCGTGTGTGATTCAAGTGCAGACAGACTCCTGGGCCTTGCCTCCAATCCAATGAATCAGGTTTTTAGTAGCTCGCCAAGTGTCTCCAATGCCCACTACACCCCCTTTCCATCTTCCCTTGTTTCTTAGTTTCCACTGGGGACATCTTCGTTGTGGTTGAAGTTTAGTACCGCATTGCCTTTACAATGGAAGTCAAGGGTGAATAAATATGGCAACTCTTTGCTTGTCTTAATGAGTTTGCTTTGTTTGTATTATTATTGTCCACCCAAGTGAGTTTCCCTCCAGGCATGACCCCCTGCTTTGCCTGTGTGTTTCAGGATGGAAGGAGGCGAGCTGTTTGACAGGGTGGTGAGGACTAGACGCCTGAAAGAAGATACGTGCAAACTATATTTTTACCAGATGCTCCTGGCTGTGCAGGTAAGAAGCCCACAGTGCCTATGACAGCCTACTTTCTCGTCGGGAGAAAGTGAGGGCCCAGGGATGAAAACTTGGAGAACAGAGCCTGTGTGTGTGGTATTTGTTCCGTTCTTGGCAAAAACATCTCCTCCTTTGACTCAGATGAGAACGCTCTTGCTGTGAAGCTTAAGACAGAGTAAGAAAGGGAGTTAAAGAAATAAACATGTGGGCCCACAAATCTTCTTTTTAGCTCCGAGGTATTTCTGGAGGGGTATTGATCTCTACTTCTTTATGATCCTTTTCAAACTCCCCCTTACCTCTCGGTGGGGGCAGAGCAGGTATAAGGATAAGGCTGGCAAGTTAGGGTGATTGTGACAGATCGCCTCCCGGTGGCCCAGCACTGGGTGTCCCCTTCACATGCAGCGTCCTGCTAACTGCAGCAGGCAGGCCAGCCTGTGCACTGCCTTCTCTCTATTCCGTGAAAGTGCTGAGCGGAGCAACGGGTGATGGCATGTTGCCTGTGTCGAAGAACATGCACTTTCCCAAACCAAATTTGGTTGTGGCAATCTCAGCCAAGGTTTCTTCCCTTGAAAACCTACTCCGCGCATGCCATGTGGTGACTGGGACCAGCTCTCGTATTAAGTGAGGATTGAGGGAGATTTTCCTGGGGCTCGTGCACCTGGGCTTACCCTCCCTGGGGGCTTCACCAGGTCCCGTTCCCAGGGCAAGTGTCTTGGAAGAATTTTTGTTCCAGGCCAGGGATAGCCAGAGAAAATAGAAGCCCCTAGACAACTAGCCAGTTCTCTTTCTTTATGACTTACTTACTCCTTTATATTATACCAAGACTATTAAGATGAAATGAGTGCAGATCAGTGCACGTGGGAAATTGCTTTCTTAATGAAATATGACAGTGTATAAAAATGAACATACAAAGAAACATCAACATATTACAGAAGGCCCCCAGCCTTCTGTAGATGGTTTGACTTAAGATGAATTTGTTAATTCATCTTAAATAGAGTTAACTTTAAAATACTACTCTTGGGGTTGGAATAACCAAATGTATTATTTTGGTGGAATTTTTATGGTTTACTTTATAATATGGTCTTCAAACTATATCACTGATTTATATTTTTATTGATGAAATTGACACCTTGCTCTGGCTGGTGTGGTTCAGTGGATTGAGCGCTGGCCTGTGGGCTGAAAGGTTGCTGGTTCTATTCCGGGTCAGAGCACATGCCTGGTTTGTGGGTCAGGTCCCCAGTTGGCCGTGCGTGAGAGGCAACCGATCTATGTTTCCTTCGCACATTTTTCTCTCTCTGTCTTTCTCCTTCCTTTCCCCTTTCTCTAAAAAATAAATAAGTAAAATCTTAAGAAAAAAAAAGAAATCGACACCTTGTGTTTGAAAAGTGAAATAAAATGTGCACTTACTGTCTTTTTCATTTTTGTACTTTTTACAAAAGCACTTTTGTACTTTTTAAAGATTTTCTTGAAAACAAATTTGTTTATTTCTTGACACTAACCCCCTAACCCAGTAGTTTTCTATGATTTGGGGGACTATGTTCATATTTGTGAGTAGCATGGCTTACAGTTTCACCCGGACATAAGGTGTGTGTGTGTGTGTGTGTGTGTGTGTGTGTGTGTGTGTGCTGTGGTCTTCTCACGCGCGTACTTGATGAAATCTAAGGGTCATGCCTCCCTTTCTCTGTAGTATCTTCATGACAATGGCATTATACATCGGGACTTGAAGCCAGAGAATGTTCTTCTCTCATCTCAAAAAGAGGACTGCCTTATAAAGGTAAGAAATTTATGTTCTGTGTATGGCTATTCCAGTAGATTCTTGTTCAGAAACTGTGTTTATGATCATCAGGTAACAAGTAGGATCATAAAAAATTTGAGAATTTGGTCTTTCCACTTTTAGCAGTTATTTTTACAGATCAGGTGGTATTGCTTCAATGCAGATTCTAAGGGGCATCTGTTGAGCTCCACTGTGTACAAGCCACTTTTATGTTCAGAGGGAGGGAGAGGTGTCTGAATGGATGAGTGAATTTACTTCCCATTTTCTCCTTCTATCTGAGGCAGTGCTTCCCAAACTTGGCTTCCCTTTAGAATCTCCTACTGATTAAAAAGTAGTAAGAAATGAATAAAATCATGACATCCATTCCGCTCCTCAGAATCTCTGAAGATGGCATCAGGAGTAAGTGGTTTTTTCCCAAGCTCCTCAGACATTCCAGTGGGCAGCCAAGGTCCAGAAACTGGGATCTAACAAGAACCGTGCATAACTAATAAGAATCCTGGAGTGTCTGTGATAACGGCTATAATGACCTTTCGTAAGGTTTCAGAGAATACAGATAAGTTGGGAAAAAGCATGGGCCTTCAGTTTCCTCAGCTCAGGAATTTTAGTTGAAGCAAAATGAACCTGGCTGGTGTGGCTCAGTGGACTGAGCACTGGCCTGCAAACCAAAAGCTTGCTTGTTTGATTCCCAGTCAGGACACATGCCTTGAGTTGTGGGCCAGATTGCCAGTTGGGGGTGTGCGAGAGGCAGCTGATCAATGTTTCTTGGATCGATGTTTCTCACCCTCTTTTTCTCCCTCCCTTCCCCTCTCTCTAAAAATAAATAAATAAAATCTTTAAAGAACACCCAAGGTATTCCTTATTAAAAAATTTAAATAACTTGAAAAGCTCAGAATTGCTTTAAATTAGACATGAATTTATCGATTCCAGATTAACAGCAGATGGGAATTGTAGGATAGAAACCGATCTAACCTGCATGTCTTTTGGGACTGGCAGACTATACTGATATTTTTATTTTATGCTATCATTAAAAATTATTCCTTCTTAGCCCTGGCTGGCGTAGCTCAGTGGATTGAGCTCGGGCTGTGAACCAAAGTGTCGCAGGTTCGATTCCCAGTCAGGGTACATGCCTGGGTTGCAGGCCATGACCCCCAGCAACCGCACATTGATGTTTCTCTCTCTCTCTATGTCCCTCCCTTCCCTCTCTAAAAATAAATAAATAAAATCTTTAAAAAATGATTCCTTCTTGTCTTTAATTTTAGATTACTGATTTTGGGCAGTCCAAGATTTTGGGGGAGACTTCTCTCATGAAAACCTTATGTGGTACCCCTACTTACTTGGCCCCTGAGGTTCTTAATTCTTTTGGGACTGCCGGATATAATCGTGCGGTGGACTGCTGGAGTTTAGGAGTTATCCTTTTTATTTGGTAAGAAAAGTTTTCATGGCCTCAGAGTCTGGTTGTAGTTAATGAGGTGAAATAAAAAACATGTCCAGGTAGAGGGCTTGTGTTTAATGTAGGTCACTGTTTTTGACCATTGATTTATAGAAAAATCTAGTTTTTCATTATGCTGAAAAAAAAATCTATATATCTGAATGCCACAGAGAATGCCACTTGATTTCTTTTCCTTTCTCTCTCTACCATTGTGAAGCCTTAGTGGGTATCCACCTTTCTCTGAGCATAAGACTCAAGTGTCACTGAAGGATCAGATCACCAGTGGAAAATACAACTTCATTCCCGAAGTCTGGGCTGTGGTCTCAGAGAAGGGTATGGATACGAAAGGGTTAAAGAAATTTATGGTTTGCTGAAATGTGTGTGCTGTGGTGGGAGAAGTTTTGTTTTGTGTTTTCAAATTCTGTGATGTTTTTCTCCTGTCGATTCTGTTCTTATTTCCTGTTGTTTTGCACCGTTTGAGAGGCAAAGGAAGGTATTAAGAGCATGGGCTCCAGAGCCAGGCAGATCTGAACCCAAGTCCTCAGTCTGCTACTCCGCATATACTCTCTGAGCCTCTATTTTCTTTATTTGTCAAGGGGACACAATAAACCCCTACTTCAAAGGTTTTTTGATAAGTGTAACACACACAAGTGCCTGGTACCTATTTAAATGTGCAAAATAATAAGTAACTTTTTAGTTACAGGTTTCTTTTCAGTAAATAAGTATGTAAGAGCTAAATGTAATTAGTTACCTTGTGTTTAAGAATTTAAATGTGTAACTTTGTAATTCTCAAGAGAAAAAAGTAGGAAACTAAAACTAAATGACAAATAATGTAACATAGATGATTGTGTTACATGTAGGTGTCTAAGGAATAACATTGTTGCAATACACAAGCCGGCCTCCACTTGTTGCTGGCCCTCAAGCTTTCTATCCGCCAAGCCTGCAGTTCCAGGAGCCTCTCACCGCCTGAGGAACTCTCACCATCCACCCATGGGTCTCAGGAAGAGCTGGCTCTGCATCCTGAGCGCCTTAGAACTGGGTGGAAGTTCAGCTTTAATTAGTTTGAACTTGCTTCCAGCAATGAGAGGAGGAACAGAGAGCTGAGAGGTTGTGATGTCTGAGCAGGGTGAGATGGTATTCTCAGAGCACTCTGACGAATACGGACAGTGAGGGGGAGTAGGAGGCCCTGCCCACCATACCTGCTGACTCCTCTATGACCTCAGCCCCTCTCTCTTCTTTCTGGATGTTGGCCTGTGATTCTGGCATACTTCAATTTTGCTGATTGAATGTATTTACCCTTCTCACTCTGGTTTACCAAATTATCTTATTGTTTTAGCTCTGGACCTCGTTAAGAAGTTGTTGATAGTGGATCCAAAGACACGTTTCACAACAGAAGAAGCTTTAAAACACCCGTGGCTTCAGGTGGGTATGGGGCAATGCCTTGTAGCATAAAATGCATGGGCAGCCCTGAACTGTGTCTGAGAGATGAGGAAGAGGATGGAAACACAATGTTTGCTTTTTGGGCCTATGTAATGCAGCTGTTTTAGGTTGAGCTTTAGGTGTGTGGAGTATGTACATATGTGTGTGGGGGGTGGAGCGGTGGGGAGGTCTTTGTGTGGTGTTTGGGTGCAACCTTTTTTAACTAGATTTGTGGCTCTTGGACAGACAAGCTGACTTTGTGGCCTCTCTTGGTCCTACTTGGCTTCCCTGGGTCTGCAGTTTGCTGTATTCCTTTGTGAGGCTGCTCTAACTCGGACTCCCCCACCTGCAGCTGTGTTCCCCTCTTTCCTCAAACCCTCTACCCCAAACAGGTGGGATGGGCTGCATTCCAGCCATCTGCAACTTTAAATCAAGGAAGCTGGGGTTGGATTGGGAGGATAGCTTCCCTAGGGGAGAACCTAACTATTTCTTAAGCCCAAGCAATCGGGGTATTAAGAGTCCCACTTGTTCATGGAGAGTAAGCATGCCATTAGTGCAGACTGTCACCTGTGCTTTTCAAGCATGTGTTGCCTCTCTGTCTCTGCTGGGAGTTGCGGCTGCCATTAGATTATGCGCTGACCTCATTCCAGCTGCCCGAGTTGGAAATCCTTTGTGGCTTTGCTGGGGTAATCTTTGGTTTAGAAATTACATCGGGCAGGTTTTCTGATGGATGTCAGGTCTTCTGTTAAGTGCAGTTCCATTTAGCACAGCCATACCCCTTTCTGTGAACTTCCATTTGGTCTCTCTGTTTCCTGTGGGGATGGGGAACTTAACCAGATAGTTTGAGCTAGAGGCTCACGTACTCTGGGGATCATTAGGCCAGGAACTTCTCGAAACATCCAGCCTCAGCACTGTGCTTCTGGGACTCTGGGAAGACTGTCCCCATTCTCTTTCCCTTTCAGCCCTCTGCATCTGACAGTTTGGCTGAGGTCAGCTCAGGTTGAGAACAACAAATCCTTAAAAGAAATGTTTAAAATGTAGATATATGTGTTTGGGGTGTTGCCCTGGAAACAGCAGTCCCCTCCAGAAGAAATCTGTCAGATGATTTAGCTCTTAATAGACCACACAGATCTGGAACAGCAGGACCCGGGAGAAAAGGAATTTGGAAACAAAGGGTGCCTTTGCATGCGGGGGTTTGATTTTGATGAAAAAGAAAAACATGCTTCTTGGGCTCTTTTCACGCGCCCTAACGGGAACTCTTAGGGGCCAGATGTGGAAGCAGAGGAGTGTGCTGGTCTTGAAAGAAGAGACGGAGCCGCCGAGCTAGGCCTGGGAACAGGGTTTGCATCTGCCCAACGGTTATGAACAAGCAGAGGCTCTTTTTCTTGAATTTTTTTGTTTCAAAAAAAAACTGTCATTAACAGCCGAGGGAAAGGCGAAGTTCAACCCAGCCACAGGGTTTTCACTTGAATACTCTTTTGTCTACATTTTGTTTTTGCAGCAAGAGGTGGTGTGAACATTAAATGAATGACAGTTCAGTGTTTATCTTGGGGGAATTCAGTGTCCTTAAAGAAATGAAATTGTTCTGTGGGGTCTGGTGCGGGACTGAGCCATGGGAATGTGGATTCTGGTCTGTTTTGTCATTAGCAGAGCATCCAGTTTTGGGAGCATCCCTTATATCCACTTTTTGCCTTAGGTTCTCATCCTGAAATAGAGGATTTCTTCCTGCTTGCCTTTGGTGCACATTGACAGTTTGAATAGATTGGACAGTTCAAAGAAAGGGTGTTTATAGATACACATTGCTAACCTGGACATGCTAAAGGAAAGAGCTCTTCTTACATGTTATTGCTAAATGATCATTTGTTTTACATACAGGCCTACATAGGCTTTTGGTCAGCTCTACGTGGCCGCACCGAAGAGCTGCCACAGGAGGTGGCGTGTCCCAATTTTATTTCTTCATACCAGGCATGTGCCTTGACTGGGAATCAAACCTGTGATGCTTTGGTTTGCAGCCTGCGCTCTATCCACTGAGCTACACCAGCCAGGGCCTTCATACATTTATTCTTTCAGAGGGTAGTTAATGAGCTCGTGTGTCAACTAATGTTAGGCCTCCCTGGATGCAAAGAGAAATAAGATACTTTGTTGCCTTGGGGAGCTGACAGTCTGGATGGGGCCAGCCCTGACCACAATCTCTATAGAGCAATGTGTGATACATGTGGTGGTAGTAGCAGGTGCAGAGTATTGGGGATCCCTAAATGAAAGCGGGTCCCTGCTCATGGGGCTTTAGGGCTTTATACCACAGGTTTACTTGGTGTAAAGGGTGTCTAAAAAGTGAGTCACCTGGGGATGATACGGGTATATTAGTTTGTCAGGTCTGCAATAACAAAATACCACAGACTGGGTGGCTTAAACAACAAATTTATTTTCTCACCGTTCCAGAGGCAAGAAGTCCAGTTTTAGAGTCTCGGCAGATTTGATTTCTCCTGAGGCGTCTCTCCTTGCCTTGCAGATGGCCGCCTTCTCTCTGTCCTCACGTGGTCTTTTCTCTGTGTGTTCACATCTCCGGTGTCTGTTTCTGTCATGAGGACACCGGTTATGTTGGATTAGGGCCCCACACTAACAACCTCATTTTAACTAGTAATTGCTTCTTTCAAGGCCCTGGCTCCCATTTCAGTCCATAACAATGGGACAGCGTTTTCAACCCTGACTGAGTCCTTCTGAAATGGGGGCTGCTGTATCTCTTAGTGCTTAGCATCTGAGGGAAATGTTTGTTCACTGAGTGAATAAGGAAGGTGGGTAAAGTAGACAGGAGGGAAGGTGGAGGCTGTGAGTGGGTACAGGAGGAAATAAAGGACGGACCTTTGAGAGTGGCACTGCATGAGAGGTGGGATCCTGAGGGATAGTGTGCATGGAACCCAGATAGCCTTGGCAGTCTTACAGTGTGTGGGTAGTGGGGAGCCACACGGAATGAAGCAATAAACAGCGATAGCAGCAGGTGATTCTAGCTACTAGATATTGAACAGGTGAATGAATCCTCGAGCACTGTAATTTTTCTGTAGCCATCAAATTGCTGGGTGTCGGAGGCCTTCATTCCTACGTCCTCCCCCCACCCACCGCGGCACACTTGGCTTCGTGGGAGGAATGGAAGGGGGTTGGGTGGGAAAGTACATGGGGCTTTGGAGTCAGGCAGCTCTGGGTCTGGATTCTGCACACACTACTTATATCGGCTGGGCTGGGCTTCCCAGCTGGTCCCAAAGCCTACATCCTTAGTCATGGAGGATTCACCTTTCTGAAGGTGAGGAGAGCTGAACCAGGTCGCCTCTCAGGGCTACTAGATGCAAATCCTTGAACCCTGCAGAGGCGAGCGTCCAGGGAGGTGAGGTGGGAGTCCTCTGTGTGCACTCCCTCCCCCTGCCCTTCCAGTAGGAAGAAACACCATTACTGTCATGACCTGTTCACTTGTCTTCCTTTCTCATTAGACCCAAGCTCTGGAGATGGTGGGTTTGAAGTCCTTCCGGCCACTCGTTACAGCACTTGCTGGGTGAATTTTCCTAGGGTGCTGGGTTGGTTTGTTAGGAGGGCCCCAGTAACTGGCTGCATTGTTGGCAGGGGGAGGGCCAACCTCCTGGAAGGACTCAGGAGCTGCGTGGAGTCGGCCCCAGCCTCTGGCCTCCTGATGGCCATCTCTGTCAGGATCCGGGCTGCGGGTTCTGAGAGTCTTCTGACTGTTTAGATCGGCAGTTCTCTCTGACCCACCAAGACCTCTTGAGCCTGTGGTTTTGATTCAATCAGTGCTGACTGAGCACTGACCGCTGCTTAGACTACCCTGGGAAGGCAGGTGGCCCTTTCCCTCCCAGAGCTTCCGCAGAGGCGTGCCGCTCCGGTGGCAGGTGGCAGGCCGGACGTCTTTGCCCACTTCCCTGTTTCCAGGAGCTTCCTAGCCGTATCTTTCTAGGAGCTTTCTCTCAAACACAGCCTCTTTATGTTTTTCATTTCTTTCTAGGATGAAGACATGAAGAGAAAATTTCAAAATTTGCTTTTTGAAGAAAACAAGTCAACAGCTTTGCCCCAGTTCCCAGCCCAGGTATTCCAGATGGTGGTCATTACGTGTAGGCCAAGTTTAAAGGGCCCATGAGTGAGGATGATGAATTTGAATGGCCTCTTTACTAGCAGTTTTATTTTTTAGGGAATAATGTCGTAGATATTTTGTTTCAGTTTGGTCTGCTTTAATACCCTTAGAAGATTTAATAACGAAGGATATTTTTAATACATTAGGGAAGCACAGCTAGGGATTGCCATTCAAGAAGTCTCCTGCAAGGCAAGATTAAAAGACTGTATTAGAAGTTCAGATTTGAATTTATTGAAACATTTAAAATTGGGGGAGTGGTGGATGATTTATTGATTATAATTTTACTCCTCCCAAGTTCTTTGTAAGTATAAGTTAACATCTGTTCGTTCTTTGTTTGCCCTTTGGTAAATGATAATGCTCCTTTTCCCCTCTCCCCTTGCAATGTTATATAAATGGGAAAACAACGACACAAAAAAGGCAGTCTTCCCACAAAAGAGCAAGACTTTGGGCTCCCAGTAAAAGGTATCACTGTCTCTTTAAGCTTCATGATTTAGGAGAAGATGACCAAGAGGAGGCTGGTTATGCTGCTTACTGTAAATACACACCATTGAGTGATGGGAAGCCATGGGGAGAGAAGTGTCCATGTGATGAGTACGTCCAAGTCTGGGGGGCTTGCTGGGGATTCAGATGTCAGTGAGGACACCCCAATAATTCTTGGTACTCGGAGTTTCACATGACATGCTCTAGATGTACTGGGAGCGTATTGGGAAATTTTGATAATCTTGAATCAGCCGGTGGTTTTCTTTGAACATTTCTTTCTTTTCTTTTTTTCCAGCCTTCTACAAGTCGAAAACGGCTCCTTGAAGGGGAACCGGAGGACGCCGGCACCACAAAACGCCTGGCTGTATGTGCTGCTGTCTCGTGAACACTGGTTGAACATGAAAGAAATGTATCTTCTGGAACTCTGCTAGAATTTTCTTTATATTTGTTTTTTGGTTGTTTGTGTTTTGGTTACAGGAAGAGCCATTTATCCATAGACATCGATACACAATTAAAACCCTAATGGCACCTGGGCTTTGTGCTTTGGCTTGAAGATCCACTCTTTAGTTGTTATGCTTTTTTGTGTATTTGAAATCATGTGCTTTTTGTCTGTCACTCTACTTTGCACACAAATTTCTCAGGATATGTCCCTGGTTTCACGTTGGGCCAGATGCATATAAATTCTAAAGGCTCTCTAGAAACTTTCAGGGAAAGGGGCACAGTGAAATTGGAGTAGAGTTAATAGAGACTGGCTGGTTGCCACAATCCTCCTGAGATAGTAGGTACGTGGGTCCATGGATCTGTTTTAAATTCTCATCCTTGCCCTCGTAAAGATACAGGTCCACAGTTATGCTCAGGGAAATATACTAGATATTGTGTGGTTCCACTTATGAGGCACCTAGAGTAGTCAAACTCACAGACACAGAAAGTAGAAGGGTGGTTGCCAGGAGCTGGGGGTGGGGGAAGTTTTGGTTCAACAGATACAAAGTGTCTGTTTTGCAAGATGAAAAGTTTTGGAGGTGGATGATAGTGATCATTGTGCAACAGTGTGAATGTGCTTAATCTGAACTGTGTACTTAAAAAAATTAAGATGTTAAATTTTGTGATGTATATTTTTCCCACAATAAAATTCTTTTTAAAAACATACAAGACCACAGTCTTGGCATCTGAAACCTTGGCACCAGATAAGTTGTAAAACTCAGTATTTTCATGATTTCAGGAAGGGGACCTGCATGGCACATCTACTGTATTATGTGTAATAACCAGTAGAGTCCTGTAACCAAACATTTCTATTTCTGTAGCAGATTTCTCAGTAAAAGGGATAGAGAAGACTTCAAGGCCTATCAGTTCAGTCTTCTCCGTCAGATGAGTTAAGGGTGACTCATTTTCAGAGATGTTTCGGTTTTAGAAATGCAGATAAAGCATGTGGGCGTGTCCTGCTGGCCCAGCAATGATCAAGGAGGGCCCGTGTAAAGCCCCTCCTCCCTCCGTTGGTCTTGTCTAGTCTTCTAAGTGATTCTGTGGGCCAGGTCCTCTGACCACCCTCATGTTACAGGTGAGGAACCCAGGCTGAAGAAACAGGATGACTTGTCTAGTGTCACACAGTTGTTAGTGGCAGAGTTGAGATCCAACCCAGGTCTTTCGGACCCTAATATTCCTCATTTCCTTAGTCCTATATTTAATTAGACTCAGAGATGTTGACTCTGACAAAACTCAGAAGAGACTGATGTCTAAATCTTGAATGTTAGTGTGTTAAATTATAGGTGGGTACAGCTCTTTCATCTGAAAGTTGGGACACCTTAGTTGCAAGGAACAAGAGGCCCATTCAAGTTACTTCATGGAAAAGGGCATTTGTTTTCCAGGTTGCAGGTGGCTAGACCTGGGAGAGACCAGGACACCAGATAGAATTCTAATGGCTGCCTCCTCTTGTCTCTGACCCACTCATTTCGTTTCTTGTAACTTCAGCTGGTTGGTGCCACATTGTAGCTTGCTGGCCATGCCATAAAATGAATGCCTCAGTTCAGATGCCACCAATGAGCCAGCCAGGGCAGCGTCCGGGGCACACAGCGGTTGCCCCAGGCAGTGGGTAGTGGTTGGCATTTTCCATGAGAAGGGTGTGCAAGTATTCTGAGGCTTGGCTGGCCTGGGGATGAGATGGGGATTTAGGTGGTTTTCATATTTAAAGGAATGGGGTCGAGATTGCCAAGCTAGATGGGGTTTAACTCATTTGAATAATGTTAGGACTATGGTTTCTTGGGGCATTTTTCCCTCTGGGGCAGTCAGCCAACTCTTTTCTATTTCTAGAGCGCTTTTTATTAGCTTCCTCTGATTATATAGACCACAGTAGGCTGAATAATGGCTCCCCAAGATGTTCTCATCGTAATCCCCAGAATTTATGAATATGTTCCTTTACATGGCAAAAGGGACTTTGCAGGTTGGGGTCTTGAGATGGGAAGATTGTCCTGTCTTCTTGGGGTGGGCCCAATGTCATGACAATGTTTTTAAGAGGGACACAGGAGGAGTCAGAAGAGATGGAGTGAAGCGTTTTGAAAACGGAGAAAGAGGCCACAAGCCAAGGAATACAGGCTTCCACTAGAAGCTGAAAAAAGGCAAGGAAGTGGATTGTCCCCTAAGAGCCTCTGGAAGGAACCAGTCCCTACACCTTAACTAGCCATGTGAAACTGTAAGAGAACAAACCTGTGCTGTTTGAAGCCACCCAATTTGTGGTAATTTGTTACAGCAGCCATAAGAAGCCAATACACTCACCTGTGGGGAGGTATCAGCTGCTGACCTAGGGCCACGTAACATCTGCTTTATAACCTCTTATTTCTTGGGGGGGTCCTCCATCCCATGAAATGGGGGAGGGGGAGATGATAAAGCTAAGAGTCCATCCCTCACTAGGAAGCTGAAGGGGTGCCTAGGGCAGGGGTGTCAAGCTCATTTTCATAGGGGGCCACATTAGCCTTGTGGTTGCCTTCAAAGGGCCAAATGTAACTTTAGGACTACAAATGTAACTACTCCTTAACAGTTAAGGGAGAGCTCGGTGCTGCTGCCAGGTAGAAACAAGGTGCCGGGCTGAATAAAACCAGATGGAGGGTTGGATTTGGCCCAAGGGTCTTGCGTTTCCCACCTGTGGCCTAGGAGCTTTCCCTGGTAGAGATCGTCCCACTGGCCATCCAGCTGAAGATGATCACAGGACTTTGCAACTTGCTCAAATGAAAGTGGAGCAAATGGATGACAACATCAGTGGTAAGAACAATATTGTGCTAATCTGAACTCTGCATTTTCTGACTTGGGCTTCGGGCAAGTGACTTCGAAACGGGTGCAGTAAGAGTACCAACCTAATATGGTGTTTATGAGGATTCAGTGGTCTATTTAAAGTGCCTGGCATGCACATGGTAAGGGATCCATCAGTGCTGGCTTCCATCATTAAAGGTGGGAGGGCCACATAAGTAGCGGGGGCAGGGTGGGGGGGCAGCTATTGAAAGTTCTTGAGCAAAGAAGTATCATCTGTTCAGCTTTCTGGAGGGCAGACAAAATGGGTAGACAGTTGAGATGCCTTTGACAAAGCAGATTTGAGCAATGCCAGATCTGGGGTGTGTGGTGGGGGCAGAGGTGGAGGGGCATTTCTAAGCAACTGAGGTAACTGCCACTTTCTTCTGAAGAACAAGCATGTTGCTCTGTGGTGGACCTGCGGTGTGCCTAGGTGATGATGCAGTGGGCAGTCTTAATTGTGCCAGTCCTCCACCTTGTGCTTCTTATTCTAACTGCATCCCCATTTTTCTGGGGAAGACATCCCTCATCCCACTTGCCCCCACTCCATGTCCTTCAGGAGAACTTGACTGCACCCATTTCCTAGAGGCGCTCCATATAGCCAGGTCTGGCCAATCTTGTGATTGGCAAGGGCATGTGACCCAAATGGGTGCAATGAAAGTTAACCCTGAGATTTTGGAGGGAACTATTGGGAATCAGCTCCTGCTTTCCTGGTCAGATATGAGGTAGGACACTGGGAAGAGAATGAAGTCATCACAGAGGGAAGCAGAGATGAGACTGGAGAGAGACTGAGGTTATTGTTTAAGTGCCTAGCTTGAGCTATGCCTGCAGTGAGGTACCACCCAGGACTTTTCAGTATGTTCCCTGTTTTATTTTACTTCAGGCTGAGTTTTTTTTTTGTTGTTGTTGGTTTGTTTTTGTTTTTATTTGTCACTTGTACCTGGAAAAGATCAGACTAATAAATTAAACCATTTACAAACTCCAAGAGAAGCTTGCCGACTCCTTTTTCGCCCCTAAGAAAGTAATGTTTTACTAGGGAAAACATTCCCTACTTCTGTTTTTCTGCCAACTTTAGGGTTTTCAGAGAGGTTTGGGGCAGAGAATGGAAAGCAAAGATGTGGGAAGCAACAGTCCTTCCAGCTTCAAGGTTGAGTGAACCCCTCCCAGCTAATTACACCACAGGGTTTGGGAGCAGAGCCCCTTTCATTAGACTTTTAGGAGTCTTGGAAGGATAGGGCCAGAATCTTATCAGTGAAGCTTGAAGAACTTGGTGTGTGCCAGACATTGTGCTCCGGGACACACATGCGTCGTCTCCTGAAAGCTCATCTCTGTGAGTTATTTCTGCCACTCTGCCTTTGCAAACTTAGAAATCGAGGTTCTCTGGCTCAGCCAAGTGATCTACTCAAATTTTCCCAGTTTGAAAAATGGAGGCGAGACTGAATTAAGCAAAACTGTTTTTTAAGAGGTCTTGACACTCGATTACCACTTGGTATGTTTTAGGCGCATTGTTGACATTTTATCTGGATTATTTCCTTGTGTCCTCCCAACACACCTTAGTTGTCAGACCTTTCTATTGAGGAGAAACAGACCCCCGGACACCTGACGTTAATCTCGCAAAAGTTAGTAGAGATGTGGGATTCTAAGGGTCTTAATAGAGTCTGACTCTCCCAGAGACACCGGCATTCACTTCGCCAATTACGCTAGCGCACGTGCTCGCACACCTCCACGACCTCTCATCAGCTTAGACACGTCTTCGACTGGCACTTCTTGGGGGTAATTCCCTCATGGCCCAGTCCTTCGCTCTCTGCATACTGGGTGAAGCAGAAGGAACAGTGCCAGGAAAAGGCCGAGGAACATGGCCTGGGGTCGTCCGCAGTGCGGCAGGGGGCAGCGCCGAACGCAGAACGGCTAGCGCTCCAGCAGGGCTGAACGGGAGCAGAGGGGGTGGGTGCCACGCCGGGAACAGCGGCCGGCTTGGAGGGCGCGAGGCGGGGCACGCGGGGAGGGGGCGCGGCGAGTGCGCGCTTGCGCGGTGGGTGGGGGTGTGTGCCGCGGGGGCGCGCGAGGAGCGGGCGCGGCGGGCGCGCGCGTGCTTGGTCGCGGGGGAGGTGGTGTGAGTTGCCGCGGCGGCGCGCGGCACGGCGGGAACATGGCGCGCGGAGCCGGCGCGCGCGCCTAGCTGGCGGGACCGTTAGCTCGAAGCGGACACGGCCCGGGGCCCGCGGGGATGGAGCAGTTGCCGCCGCCGGCGCTCGAGCCAACCCCGGGGCCGACCCCGGCACGGAGTCGTAGGCGGCGGGAGCCCGAGTCGCCGCCTGCGCCGGTGAGTGCGTGAGGGGCGCGGGCCGGGAGACTTTCTTTGTGAAACTCCGTCGGTGCGAGCCGGGCCGGGCCTCGGCGGCGGACTAGCCCGGCGAGGCGGAACCCGCCCCGCCGTACGGGTTCGAACCCCGCCTTGCATCGCTGGCCGGCGGGACCCGGTCTGTCGCCTGCCCCAGCTTTTGCGGGATTTTCTGTGTGCGCGCCGGGGTTGCGGGGAGGGGGGGGGCGGTTAGCGGTATACAGTCGGCGCCTATTGCGCGCGCTTACCTCCGTGCTTGCGGGGCGGCGGGCCCCAAACCCGCGGCCCACGGGAGAGGTAGGCAGCAGCCGCTGGGAGACAGGTGTCGGCGCAGTCGCGGGAGGCTCAGGTGCAGACATCCCCAGGTGGAATCTCAGTGAGTGAGCTGTCCGTCCCGGGAAGGAAGCAAATCTGTCGGTGGCTTAGTACAGAATGATTCGGGAGTGTTTGTAAACATCCGCCCCAGCTTCGTGGTGTGTTTGGCGTATTGGTCAGGGCGAAGGATGCTGAGTGAAGTGGACTTGGGAGGTGTGGCATCTTGCTGGAAGGGATGGGACGGCCCTGAGCGTGAGGTTCTCAAAACGGCGGGGGTGTGGGCGCCCTTGATGGGAATGCAGGCGTCACCACTCGCCCCAGGCCCACGGACTCTCCAAGGCATGCGAACAGACTTTGAATTTTTAACAAGCTCCCAAGTTATGACGATCAGGCCCGCTTGATAAGCACTACCTTCCTGGGAGCTGGGGCCTGTTCTGTTTATAGCTCACCACGGCATTCTGGTACCAGGTGCAGTGCTCGGCACTGGGTGGGTGGTTGGTAAGTGTGTGTGGGAAGACTAAGGGAGTTTCCAAAATAGTTCCTGAGATATTTTCAGGAGCTTTTTGAGATTAATGAGCGTCAGATTACTGTATAATGTGATTTTTATCAGGTTCCAACATAACTTTTGTGACTCTTTGCAATGCCTTGTTTTGAGTATGTTGTAGGCAAAGCAGAGGATACATTGTTTAGTATAAACCATAAACTATGTATACCCTAGCTAGGTTAAAACTTATTATGGAACAAAACTCTGAATAAAAAATTTGCATGCTCCACCCTCTGCCCCCCTCCCAAAATTTCATGTTTCTTTCTCTCCATCATATGGGAACACTAGGGATGTAGGGTTTTGTTAATTTCAGGCAGGTGAATGTTTACATTTTCATCAAAGCAAATCTGAATTATTATTTATTTGGAAAAGTTGGAGATTAGCTTAAACCTCTGAGTATTTGTCCTTTGTATACTATTTTGAAACTGAGATTTATATTTAGTTCAGAGTCAATGCTTAAGTATAATTATTTGATTGAAAATTATTTGATGTATCAGGTTTTTTTATGTTTTTTGAATTTCAGTAGTTGATTTCATTTCATTAGCTTTTTTTTTGTTCACTGACAAAATATGAATATGTAGGAAGACAAGACTTTAGGAGCTGAGATTGCATCTAAATAAGTATTGAAAAATTAGATGCTTTGATGCTTTGTTGTCTTAGTATGACATTTTTGTACAATAGTTTGTGTGGATGTTATTATTATTATTATTCCTCACCCAAGGACATGATTACTGATTTTAGAAAGGGGAAGGGAGGGAGAAAGAGAGGGAGAGAAACACAATGAGAGAGAGGAACATTGATTGGATGTTTCTCCTACGTGGTCTGACTAGAGATCAAACCTAAGCATGTGTCCTGACTGGGAATTGAACCCTCAACCTTTTGGTTTATGGGAAGATGCTCCAACCAACTGAGCCACACCAGCCAGGGCTATTTTAAATTTTTAAAATTGAGGTATAATTGACATATAACTTATTAGTTTCAGGTTTTCATCAGAATAATTTGATATTTGTATATATTACAAAAATATCACTACAGTTAGTCTAGTAAACATCTGTCACCACGGATAGTCACAAATTTTTTTTCCCTGTCATGAGAACTTTTATGATATACTCTCTTAACAACTCCTTCATATACAATATACTATTATTAACTACAGTCATTATGCTGTACATCATGTGTCCATGACTGACTTTTTATAAAAAACAACTTTGTTGAGATAATTCACCTACCATAAAATTAAAGTCTTTAGTGTACAATTCCCAGTTTATAGTATATTCACTATATGTCCAACATCACCGTTATCTACTTTTAGAGCATTTTCATCGCCCCACAAAGGAAGCCTGTACCTGTTAGCATTCCTTATTGGCCTTTCAGCCCCTGGCAATAACTAACCTACTCTCGGTCTCTATGAATTTAACTATTCCAGACATTAACCATAATTTAACATGTTTTCTTCTATGACTAGTTTCTTTCATTTAGCACATTTTTTTTTGGAGGCTCATCCATGTTGTAGCATGTATGAGTAGGCTAGTCCTTTTTATTGCTAAATGATCTTTCATTGGAGGGATATACCACATTTTATTTATCCATTCATCTGTTGATAGATGTGAATTTTTCTACTTTAAAAATATATTATTTGTTTGTTTTTAGAGAGAGGGGAAGGGAGGGAGAAAGAGAGGGAGAGAACCATGGATGTGCAAGAGAAATGTCAGTTCACTGCCTCTTGCATGCCCCCAAACAGGGACCCCGCCTGCAACTCAGGCATGTGCCCTAGTCAGGAATCAAACAGGTGACTTTTTGGCTCTGAGGATGATGCCCAACCCACTGAGCCACACCAGTCAGGGCATACTTTTTGGTCATATTTGTCTTTCGGTATCTGTGGGAGATTGGTTCCAGAGGCTCCCACAGGTACTAAGATCCTAGGATGCTCAATTCCCTTATATAAAATGGTATAATATTTTCATATTACCTATGTACATCCTCCTGTATATAGTAAATCATCTCTAGATTACTTATAATACCTAACACAATGTAAATGCTATATTAATAATTGTTATACTGTACTGTTCAGGAGATAAAAAAAAGAACAAGGAAAAAAGTCTCTGTTCAGAGGCAACCATCCTAGGCTTAACTGCATGGTACATGTTAGCAACAACATAACTTTTCTTTGATTATTTTCTTTTTAAAATAGTAGTTATTTATATATATTGATTTAAGAGAGAGAAAAAGGGAAAGAGAGAGAAAAGAGAGGGAGGGAAAGAGAGAGAAATGTTGATTTGTTGTTTCATTTATTTACGCATTCATTTGTTTGCTTCCTGTGGGTTCACCAGAAATCAAACCCACAACTTTGGCGTACTGGGATAATGTTCTAACCAACTGACCTACCTGGACAGGTCTTATGTGACTATTTGCAATCCATTGATGTGAAACCTGTGGATATGGAGGGCCATCTCTATTATGAGTAATGTTGCTATGAACATTTATGTACAGCTTTTAGTGTGGACATGTGTTTTAATTTTTTTTGGGCCTATCCCAGTAGCTGGGTCACATGGTAACTCTTATTTTAACCTTTTTAGGAACTGACAAACTATTTTCTAAGGCACTGGGCTGCATCATTTTACATTCCCACTAGCAATGTGTGAGGGTTCCAGTTTCTTTACATCCTTGCCAATACTTGTTATTGTCTATCTTTTTAACTTTAGACACTCTAGTAGGTGTAAAATGGCATCTCATTGCAGTTTTCATTTGCATTTCCCTGTTGACTAATAATGTTAGGCATAATTTTTTGTGCTTATTGGCCATTGATGTATTCTTTTCAGGGAAATGTCTATTCAAATCTTTGTTCATTTTTTGTCAGGGGGATCCATTTTTAAAATTGAGTTATTTGTTTTTTTATTAAGTTGTAGGAATTCTTTAAATGTTCTGGATACTAACTCCTAATAGATATATGATTTGCAAATATTTTCTCCCACTTTGTAGGTTGTCATTTTGCTTTTTTGATAATGTTCTTTGTTGCAAAACATTTTTGTGATGAAGTCATTTATTTGCTTTTTCTTTCGTTATTTATGCATGTGGTGTCATATTTTAGAATCCATTGTCAACCCCAAAGTCATGAAGGTTTACCCCTATGCTTTCTTCTAAGAATTTTTTTTTTTAAGATTTTATTTATTTTGTTTTTAGAAAGGGGAACAGGCCGGGAGAGAAACACTAAAACATCAATGTGTGGTTGCCTCTCACACGCCCCCTAATGGAGACCTGGCCTGCAACTCACACTTTGGTTTGCAGACCAATGCTCAATCCACTGAACCACACCAGCCAAGGCTCTTCTAAGAGTTTTAAATCCTTAGCCCTTATGCTTCTGTTGTCGATCCATTTTAAGTTAATTTTTGTGTATCGTGTAAAGTAGTGGTCCAGATTAATTCTTTTGCATATGTTGATCCAGTTGTCCCAGCACTGTATATTGAAAAAATTGTTATCTCACTGAATGGCCTTTGTACCCTTATTGAAAATCAACTGACCACATGTTAGGTTTATTTCTGAACTCTCTATTCTATTCTATTGTCTATGCTCATGCCAGCACTACAATGTTTGATTACAGTAGCTTTTTAATAGGTTCCAAAATTAACTGTAAGTTCTGTAGCGTTGTTGTTCTTTTTCAAGACTGTTTTGGCTTTTCTGGGTCCCTGGGTTTTAGGATCAGTTTATCAATTCCTGCCAAAAAATAGCTGGGATTTTTATAGGGAGTGTGTTTATTCTGTTCTCTCAATGATGTTTTGTAGTTTTGAGGTCCAAATCCTGCACTTCTTTCAAAAATTTATTCCTAAGTATTTTATTCCTAAGGAATTGTTGGATGCTGTTGTACATGGTTTTTAAAAAAATTTATTTTGTATTCATTTTTCATCATTAGTTCATTGCTATAACATAGAGGAAATACAGTTGAGTTTGGGACATATCTTTTAACTTCATCATTTAGTGGTAGAGTGATCCAATTTTCCATTTCAAATCCTCACCCCCACACCAAAATAATGAGGAAGAATTGTCTTTGAAAGCTTAAGTATGGATACAAATCTAGATTCACATTTCTAAGTTTTGGCTCTGTTACTTACTAGTTGTATGAGTTTTG